GCCGATATGACAAAAAGCAGCTTTATTAGTTAAAAAAAAAACAACAAATCGACTAAAAATGCATTATGAAACTTAATGAATTATGTTTATGTGAGGTATTAATTCATGTATAATAATAAAAACAAATCGAGTTGTAACAAGAACTGTGATACGGATCGGAAAACATAAACGATGACAGAAAAAATTATAAACAATAATAACAACTCTGATGGCAATTATCGATTTAAAGAAAACCTACACGGTGCACTAAACTATTCAAACTAATCCATAGAGATCGTATTCGTCCTTTTTGGTCTTCGCATGCGTTCAGCCGTTTCCTTCCACTTCATCAATTTTAAACAGGATTTGAAGAATTAGACGTTTCTGCACATTGTGCTGGCAAAAAAAACAATGTCTGTTCTTATACGTACGGCCCTTTTGTAACTTGATACTTGTTGAGATCCATTATAATTTTTGCTGTTTGAAATTATACTTGAATAAGGTGAAGCTGAATCAATTGTTAGTAGATCTTATTTTTAACTAATAAAGCTTGCATGTTCTGTAATTTATGTTACTTTAATATGTTAATTCTATTTAATTTGAAATTTAAACTGTATATTCTGAAAGTGGTTATACCAACTTATAGCGCCATTTTTCTCCTACGGTCCCGCATTTAGTAGCAGGTCGTTACTACTCTAGTTCCTCTATGTTCACTTATTAGGTACCTATATTTACTTATACCTATATTATTTAAGTCAACACGTCTCAATTTGACATCTTCTCTTCTGCCATTGTCAATACCTTTTAGGCGGCTAATGGTTGAGTTAATCCAAGTATGTACTAACTTTAATCCTCGTTTCGTAATAAGACAGGTGTATGTTAGAAGTTCCATACATAATTTATCGCCACCCCTAAAATATTATATGTTAATTCGCCACAAGGAAAAAAGTTATTGCAAGTACACCGTGTCTATTAATTTTGTGTCATATTTTCAGTAAAGATTATTTCAATAAATGTCAATATATTTCAAATCACTATCTAAATTGCAAGATGACACGAATAGGATCACGTACCGTAATGGCCAGATAATGGGTATTTCGACCTCGCCGACTCACATGGTATATGTGCCAACGTTGCCGGCTTCCATGCCAGCAATAGATAGAGTGTACATTTGTTGCTTGTATCTAAAGCATAGTTCCTAATGATTCGGGTCACGGACCACTTTGATTTCTTCGTCATTAATATTAAGTCTTTATCGAAAATGAAGACTTAAAAATGGAATACTAAAAAGTAGGAAACAGAAGAATTGAAATTAATTTGACATTGTCATATACAGACTATTCAATATTTTTATTTAACTAGCTTTGAGCTAGTAGCCTCAGTGGTCTTGTACTATACAAATAACCTTCCTCTCGAATCACCCTGTATATTGATAGAAACCGAATTTAAATTCGTTGTGTAGTTTAGAAGATCTCAGCGTACAGACAGCGGGAAGCGACGGTTTTATAATATGCATAGAGATTAAAATGATTAATGGTTGTGACGCTGTTACACAAACGAGACTGAATTGAGTTTTCTTCAGTAAACTTATTTCGTATTTAGTTAAGTTAGTACTTAGTTTAAAGCAGCATAATATAAAGTAATTTCTTTTAATAGGGGATAACCGTCAAGAAAACTAGAAATAAATAAGCTGTTTGTGCTATGTATGTACCATAGAATTATTTTTGGCATCAATATATGAGATGTTCAAATGGTCCATTCAAATTTCAGAATAGGTAAATCTATACTGCCAAAAATGTACTATTAAGAGCTCGTGAAAAGAGTTTTTATTAAATACTAGCTTTCGCCAGCGGCTTCGCCCGCGTGGACCCTAGGAAAATGTTTAGTGGGATAAAAAGTATCCAATTATCAAAGTCAGCTAACACCCTATCTGTATACCAAATTTCATCAAAATCCGTTCAGTAGTTTCGGCGTGATTGACGTACAAACATCCAAACATCTAAACATCCAAACAAAGAAACTTTCATATTTATAATATTAATAGGATGTTATTAATAAAATAAATATTTCCTACTCCAGTCGATAATCCAACCAAGTCCTCCCCTCATCCCTCTTTACGTTTTCTTGTGGTCGGCACTATAATGTATTGATCTGGTAATGACATGGTTTTTGTAAATGTCATTACTCATATTAGAGCTGGTGAGTTTCTTGCTCGTTCTTCTTATCAGCCAAAAGACGTCCTGAACGAGTGGTAGGGAAAAAATGTTGGACTATTCAAAAGTACTTTTAAGAAGTCTATTTGAATAAAGATTATTTTGACTTTGACTTTGACTCCTAATGAGAACTATAGCTACATATGTACCGCTATTCAACAGAAACTTACTAGGAACTAAACTTATGAAGTCACGTAAATATTCAACAATTACGGAGTATAATCATCAGCCAGAGTAATTTATTTGTTCACATTCGAAATAATGGATTTGATGTGGATACATTCTATTCTTGTTGCTCTCGATAATTTTATAATTTGATGAGTTATGACGTCGTATATGAGTATATTAACATAGCTACTTATTTGAAAACTAGCTTTCCACCAGCGGCTTCGCCCGCGAGATCCTGTATAAGCCATAAAAACCTTTCTTTTGAATCTCACTTTCTTATAAAAAAAACCGCTTCGAAATCCGTAGCGTAGTTTTAAAGATCTAGGCATGCATACATAGGGACAAACAGAGGAAAGCGACTTTGTTTTACAATATAAATTGATTTGAATATCAGTTTTATTACTTTATTTTTTCTTGACAGTATTTGGGGCGATCATTTGTTTTTGTATATTCTCTTACCTATACATATTGTTAGTATTATTTAAGTTATTATTAGCAATAATAATTATCAACAACATTATAAATTATAACAGCACCGGACTATTAACTTCAGTAGGCTCTAACACAAAACCTCTTTGCCTAGCGTAAAACAAATAAAAAGGAAAAGCTCCCAAGCAATATGGCGTCCGTATCATATTACGTGGGGGCGGGCTGTCAACGTGAATACGTCAATTCCGTGCTGGTCTCGGTTCCGAGAAAGAAGTGGTGGAATTATTGCTCGATGAGGGATAGAATACAAATTGACAACGTAAATAAATTTTGTACGCGTAGAACAAAAAAAAATGAATAAAGCGCGCTAGAAAGATAATTGAAAATAACAGTATAATTTATGGCTTTAATTGAGCTCAAATAAACTTAATAATACGATTTTATATATGGTTATGAATATAATCTGATACTTTTTATTTTTTGCTAATTCTCGATATATAATCTCGAAATATAATGCACGACGCATAAAAAAAATGTTTATAAAAATAATCTTAGCAGGTATCGGCGAATTAACAATAATTAAAGCGAAAAAGCTATTATTTTGAAAAATGCTAGGAACTTTATAAAACTTTATCTTTTGGATATTAAGTGTAGAAGGCAGAACATTATGATCAAATCAGTATTTTAAGAGAACTAGTGTGTAAGAGAACCAGAATATTAGGCAGCTCATCAATGTTTATTTTGAACAGTTGAACCCGACACTTGATGACCTTGAGGAACTCTTTAAAAATTGATACATAAGTACTTAAAACAATCAACAGTGTTGTTCTTAATTTCTTAAAATGTATCATTCTCGTTAAGGATCCTGAAATTTTAGGCTTCGAATCCCACCCATCTCGGTACATGGGACTGGTGTTTTGTCTACCAAAGAAATATCAATGTAGCATTGTAAATATGAAATGGGTCGATCGTAACATCATATTTTTTATTTTAATGAAAAACGTTTAACAAGTTCTTGAAAAATTCGTCAGTCGTCTCAGGTTTCGGGTAGCTCAATAGTTAGAGCACTCGTCCGGATTGCGAAAAGTTTGTGGGTTGGAGTCTCATCTCTGGGTTCTTCAAGATGGTGGATTTATTAGTATTTTTCATTAAAATATATACATCAGTATAGCATTATGAACTTAAAATTAATCAAATATAATAATCATTATTTTTCATAAAATTTTCGTCATTGCAATTTTTATGTTACAAAATGTGTAGTTAAAGGCTGGTAACAAAATATGTAGTTAAAGATAATTAGGCGGGCCACAAACTACGTATTAAAAATAAGTTAATTCCAGGCGCATGTGACAAAAATATAATCAAAATAAAATAATAGGTAGTTTATTTCCAATAAAATGCATGTCGCAAAATGCGTTTCCCTGCGAATTTATGAAATAATATAAAGTCAAAATAAACTGTGTTTGACGGTGTTGGTTTCAAAAAAATTAATTGTTATTCTTAATGAAAAAGTTTAGAAAATCCACTTTACTCTATGTAGCGCTATCCCATCTCAGGATGGGATTTCTTACCCACGACTTTTCGTAATCCGGGCGACTGCATTAACCGCTGACCTAACCAGGACATAATTTTTCAAGCTCTTGTCACTTTTTCTCTACTGCAGAGCGTATTTTCATCAATGCTCAGGCAATCCACCCAGACAGCTGAAATAAATATTTTAAACTTTTATTGTTTTATGTTCACTGAAAAATGCTTAAAAAATCCACCTTGTCCCTGGCACTCTGAGATGATCAAGAATATTTTTCAGTTATAGCGTTGTGAATGCAAAATTGATTAAATATAATAATTTAACTATTTATTTTATAATTGTATTTCAATCAATTATTATTTTTCATATGTAACTAATATAGTTACTCAATGCTTATTGTGAAACTCTTTGTCAATGGAATTGTATATATTTTTTTGTGAAATTCACTTGAATCAGCTGATCGATTCACGTCAAGACGTTTCGACACTCAAAATTACATTCAATGATTATTTTATACTGTCTGGTATTAAACTATGTCACAATTACTGAAAAGATGTTCGGAAAATTCATTAAAAATATTTTTTGATAGTTGACACATTCCTCGCGATTTAGTTAACTCTCAAAAGCTATCTTGTTCATTTAAAATAATCCTGTATATTAATATACAATGTTTATCTTTCCAGTGGTCCCGGTGGAGACAAGCAGCTAGACTCGTCAACGGATGACGACAGTGACGTGCCCGCACACTCGACGGCCGCGCACGCCGCCCCGCCGCACCCCCCGCAGCCCCTCTACCCCCTGTACGAGCACCCGCTGGCTCATCTCCAGTATCATCACACGTGACCAATGTATTAAAAAATGTAAATACATAATAAAAAACGCAGACAATCCAGGCATTTATAATGATTTCTAAAAAGATTCAGAAAATATAAAATACTGTCGAAAGGGCCGTATAAGTATCGCAATCACGTGAGCTAATAAAATAACTAGGACGAAAGATGAAAAAATATTACATATAATAAACGATGGTATTATGTTACTGGATTTTGAAAGTCGTGGGTAGTTTTTGCATCCATATATCCCACAAGGCATAAAGTAAGAAAGAAACTACTGTACCACAAGAGTTGAATTAATCTTTTGCCATACTTATAATTAAAAACTTTTCTGTTATTGAAATAATATTTTGTTTAATTAGTAGCAAAAGAATCTAGTTCGTTTATCCACATCTGAAGTATTTCTTTTTCTTCTGTTTTAACAGAAATTTTAATGTCTACAATTTCAATGTTTCTTTAAGGTTCATAAGAACCAGTAAAGAGAAATTCAAGGTAAAGCAGTAACTTTGAGTGCGTCCCATTTTTTATTCTAGGCGCACTTTTTTATTTGCAACCCAGCAAACAGGTCAAACACGGTATGAGAGACTATAAGCTGGAAGCTTATATATGTGTTTATTCGGCATTCTAAGTGTTTTATCATAAATTCCGTGATTCATTCAATCGGTTCTTCTCAAAATTTATTTTGCGACAACAACAAAAAATAATGCAAACAAATTCAATATTTTTTTTAGTACTCAACCTCAACCGTTTTTTAAGTAAAGGACTGAGAGCAGATGTCGATATGTGGGCCAATTCTACTAAATAAATTTTGTTTAAATCGAATCGAAAACGGATCGAAACCGAATGAAACTACAGTTTTTAATGATTTTCCTATTCTACAAAGTGACATACGATACAATTCCAGTTCTATTTTAGCTGGAATTGTATCGTATGTCACGTTCGGTTTCGATTCGATTTAAACAAAATTTATTTAGTAGAATTGGCCCCATGGTCAGCAATAATATTATTTTTTCACTAAATGTGTGGATTGTCTTATTTATGTTAATAATCAGCAATATTATTGTATTAAATTAGATTTTAATGCGTTTTAAAATACCAAAACCTTTGACAAAAAATTGCCATGTTTCTTTCAGTCTGTATAATAAAATGTAACATGTTATTTGTAAGAAATCTATAGTATAGTCTGAATTATGTGATTAAAAACATGCTTCCTACGTCTTATCATAGATTTGTAAGTGAATTTAAATATTGTTTAATAATGTAACATTATTTAATAAAAAAGAATTTCAAAAACTCATACATTAGGCTTTAATATGCTGACTAGTTTCAACTACATTATCATGAAACAATTTGTAGTTAATTTTTTTATTTTTCAACGATCTAGTAATCGATAATTAATTATATTATTGTTTATCTGAATATTTACAAAAAATAATATGGACACTAATATTCCTAAGTACAAGATGTGAATCATATTAGAGTTTTTATAGTTACAGCTTAACTACAGTTTTAGGTGGAAGTCGGTTAGTTTAACGACAATTGTTGAAAGTTCTGTTAACAGCGTTACAAGTATGGCTTGAAAATCTTTAATCGCATTTCATTAAATTGAGCATTTAAAATATTTGAAATAAAATAGCAGCATATAAAAAAACACATAAAAATATACATAATTTTTTAATAAAAATTATACTAAACATTACATTAAAATCAACTAATATCAAACTCTGGCTTGCATTTCTACCAAATTAGTGGCGTGTCTTTAAAAATATTTGATGTACTATGAACAAAGTGCTCTGTCCTGTTTTACTGCATTAAAAATACAAAAGTTAGAGTAGGTAGACGACACACAAACAATTCATGATATTATATCAACCATATCTAAAATACACACTTACCAGCCGTATAAATTTATTTAATGCCGTTTTATTTAGTTTATCTACAGAACACTACCGATTTGACCAACACAATTAGTAATGTGCTTAAATAGATATCCCACACGGGATCTGACGTGACGTCGATGGATCTCATGTATGAGGACTAAAGTAGGACTTTTATCATTTTTATGATAAACACTCAATTTCAGTACTGAAATAATTGAATTACAAACACTTTTCATGTACAGTAGGAGGGATTATGTAGTTATATTTCCAAATGTGTAAGTATAATACATATAAGTAAAATTACGTAAATGTACAATAAAATAAAAAAACAAAAATACTCACGTTTGGAATGTCATAGCGTTCATAGCAAACGTCATAAGCTGCAGATTAATATTCACGTTTTTACTTGGGTCCTTTTTACATCCTTAGACATGGGTCTTATAAATACATAGACACAAAATTTACTAAATGTGTACTAAATATAGGCATTTTTATGTGCACGTAGTTATTTTTGGTGCACATTTTGTATTATTTAGCCTGTGGAGGGATATGACCCCTTTGTTTATGCAATTGTAATAGTTTCTATATCAAATATTGTAAAAATACTTCTGAAAAAAATATTATAAAATTTTTTTTTTGCTTGTACATGAGTCTCATTGTCTTTGTAACGTTAAGTAAATATATTATTTGCAATAAATATACTAATGTAAAAATATCACATTACCCAACTGATGGCTGACGTTAATTAGCAAATGAAATTTAAAAATAAAAGGAAATCACAGAAAAATGAAGTGTTATTTATCCAAATTGTAGCATACAGTTTAACATTATTGTAGGTATTTATTTAAATAATGTTTAATTTAAATCTATTTATAATTTATTACTACGTAACAGCGCGTCTCTTGACAAATGTAAAAATAATTTAATATTATAAGGAACACGCTGTATGTTTTTTAGTTAGTTATTGGTATTTTTTTAAATTGAAAGTGTGTTGTTAATCTAAAATGGTGTTTTATTTCAAAATCCCTATATTTTTCTAAACTTTCAAGCAAAACATGTAGTAGTATTCAGTTTCAATAATCATAGAACATCAAAGAATTATAAAAAAAATATTTTAACCTATTTAACAATGAATGTTATTAACATAGTGGTGATAGTATATAAATGCAATAACTGATAATTTCTAAGTTACAAAATATGTAGTATACAGTACATTTATAATCTCGATTTTGCAATTACAAAACATGTAGTGAAGTGAGTAGTGATTTTGTAAACTTTTTACAACAATTAACAGTTCATAGCTCGGTGTTGTAGTGGTTAAGCGCCGCGGCCCGCGATCGTTGTCGTTAAGCAACTTTCGCAAGGGTCTGTCACGGGATGGGTGACTAAAAAAATATTATCTCGAGCTACTCCGTGCTTCGGAAGGCACGTTAAGCTGTTGGTCCCGGCTGCATTTGCAGTCGTTAATACCCTCCAATCCGCATTGGGTCAGCGTGGAGGGTCATGACCCATCCTCCTTAACCATCCATAAGGAAGGCCTGAGCCCCTGCAGTGGGGACGTAAAAGGGCTGATGATGATGAAGGTGTCAATTATGATATCGAGGTTAAAAAATATGTAGTGTACACGACTTTTATATTTCTAACTCTGTTGTAAAATGTATATGAATAATCAAATCTAATATTTCATGGACGTTATTTTATTACAATATACAGTTAGCCATTATAGCAGTTTTCTGAATTAGCTAGGTATGTATGATGTTCTGCTGATAAATAGCCTCAAAATCGTCGTCAAATGTAGAGATATCACAGCGTAGAGATTAAATCAAAGTAAAACGTACTTCAAAAGGTTAATAAAGGTTTTATTTTATTGAATCTATGACTCGACGGTGATGCGCTGCGTTGGGAGAGATTTTTTTATAACACAACAACATTAAAGCGCTGCAGAAGTACAAAAGAGCGTTTCACACCCGTCATGTATCAGTATGTAGAAGTGCTATGGATACATCACTTAGTACCCAGTGCGGAGGTCAGCAGCTGGAACACCTGGGGTACGACTACCCTAAAGCCTTAAATTATAACTATAAGATTCGACGTTTTAGTAAATATCATGAGTTTCACGTTACTACTTTGATTTGTCTTTTACTGTAGGTATTAGTAGGTATTAATAAATTATCGAATTGGTTATACACTGCTTTCAAATGCACAATATTCATTCTTTGTCGTTTGTTCGCCTTTACTAAAGTTCATGTCAAATTATATAAACTACAAAATATATATTTAATCAAATTCTTACATTACCCTGTATATAGGTATATTTTAGAAGAATGTAAGTTCGTACGAAAATACCCGGAATTTTATAAAATACGTAAATAATATATCAAAAATAAAAAAAAACTTAAATTAATATTACATAAAACAAATAAAGAATTTATTAACTAAACAGCATTATTATACCATACAAGAATACCAACTTCGAATATATATTTCCAGTATAGCATGTGAATGCGAAATTAATCAAATATAATATATACATTATCTTTCAACAATTGCGAAGGTCTTTTAGGAGCTCATAGGAGCTCATTCCCACACCAAATGTGCGATCTACTGAGTCACCGAGTTTCAAGATTGTGTGAATCTGGGCAGTTAGTTTACTTCTTTAATAAGAATGTTTTTTTCTAAGTTTAAACTTTAAAAAAACACCTATTTTATATGTCTCCTTCCCCAGATTGTCCAGCACCTGACCTCCGCGTTGGTTACTAAGTGATGTATATACCCTTAGTAGTTTAATATGCTGAAATATGAAGCTTTAGATAAGCAGGGCTCGTTATAAAAATAGCTGTTGCACATTTCTGTGACGAGCCCTAAGACTAAATGTGATCCATGTGCGGTTGATGTACATATGTGTCTATTAGTATTATTAATTGAACTTGTTATAAGTAGCTTTACTTATTTATTAAAGATAGGTCGACGACTCATATATAGTCGGGAAAATCGTCTACTTATATCGAAGTTTCTATTCTAATGGCTTATTTACATGACAGCGGTCCGTATGCGGCGTGCGGGCTCATTTACAGTCTAGTCTACACTTATATTATAAAAAAAAGAATACGCTGAAACTACTGGATCGATTTTAAATAATATTTAACCTAAGGGATTATAATATATGCGGAAAGTCGCGGGGACACAGCTAGTTGATTTATACCAATGATAGTACAAATAAATTGAGCTATTTGTAGAGCGTAGCTTTGAAGTTATTTAAGAAAATAGATATCTCCCGCTCTCATCTTCGATATTACAGGGCCTCAATAAATAAAAGCAGTTATGTATCTATAGATTACAGGAAAACCTAGAAGTTTATGCTTTTTATAATCTAATGTTAATTGAAACCCTTGTGCGAGTCCTACTCTCATTAATAGCTTTTTTTTCCTTTCTTGTGGTCCTTATACCTACATCACAGCAATAAACTGAAATATATTTACACACATCTTGGAAACCGATATACAATTTACCACTGAAGCTTTTAGTCCAGCTGCAGCTATCAACATCTATATATCCGCAATGGGACAATGTGGTGGGTAATGAGATGTAATCCGTGTGAATGCGTACCTACCGTCTAATGGAAATTAAAAGGATCACTTAAAAGAAAAGCTTATGACGTATTAAATAAGGTTTATTAAATATTTACAAAGCTTAATCTAATCAGAAAGTGACTTCCATGAGTTTAGTGTTATAATTTCTGTCCTGGACCGTGACCTTGGATTGAGAGAAGAAGGCGATGTTGATGACCTCCTTGGAGACAATAGTGTTGCTTATTCTGCCGGTCAGCATCACGGCTTCAATGTCTAATGCCCAGAAATGATGACCTTGATATGTTTTGTCATAGTTAACTACTGTAGCTCCAGATAAACTGGCTTCGTACTCCACTTCAATTTTGATGAAGCCTTTGTTCGCGTGTAGTTGAGCCACTACTGCTTGTTTTGGCTGCAGGAGTATCTCCATGTCATTGGAAGCGCCGACTGTTACAGTCTCTGATTTTTCAGTGTTCTCACCCCAGGAGTTGGAGTAAGTGAAAGAGGTTGATCCACCACCGTTTAAGATTTCAATGTCGAATCCATAGCTGATGTCTTGGCTTACAGATAAGCTGGCTTCTTTCGACCACGTCGAGGATACCGTGTTCTGGACTTGCTGGGTGATGCCGACGTTGAAGGTCGCCGGTTTGCTACTGTTGTTTTCGAAGACTTGTTCCATAACTATAAGGGGCTGAGATTCGATAGATAATATCTTGGCCCTCTTCGGTATAAGGGTCCTGGTGACTTGAGTCCAGTCGTAAGTCTTATATAAGTCACCCCACGGGGTAGGGCTGCGGACGTACACGTCATCAGGCCGTTCGCCGAAGTAGGAGCGTACGGCGTCTTTGAGCCGGTCGACGTTTAAGCCGAAGGCGTTTTGTTCGTTCTGACTGATGATTCCGACATCGTTCCCTGACAGGTATACTTGCATATTCGGCTTCTCAGTGTCGAATTTTCCAGACAATTCAACGTTTATCTTAGCAACGGCCAGCGCCGGCAGCAGGAGTATCAGGAAGCGAGCAGCCATTTTTTTCTGGAAAATAAAAAACGTTTAGAAAGGATTTCTGTAGGTTATAGCGATATAATTCGATTGTAATTTGAACTGTTTAGTATTATCTAGAAAGCACATGAGTTCTTCATTCAATCTACAAATCAGTTACTCGATTTAAGTGTAATTTTTGCATAGAATGGAAATAAATCCTCGGGTAGACGCCAGTTTATAATAATTATTTTTGAAGATAAAATTTATATATAATATATCTATCAGAATAACTTACTTGTTCTGGACCAGATAGATTCGAAACCGCTTGCAGAACTACAACGATTATTCTTGAATGGTTTTATCACAAAAAATGTAAAGTTTTTATATTGTAATTTCAAGTCGCAGTAATAGTTGGAAAGCTACAAATCTAAAATTGTCGGTGGGGTAATGACGGAAACCTAAGTAAGTATCAAGCTGTCATTACCAATCCAAACTCCATAAATATTATTAAAAATTCATTATATGCACCCTAAATATAACAATTAAAATACAAATAATAGAAATTAACGAGTGTACGTTTATTAACTAGTTTGACACGATTATTTTTTTAATAATTTTCAATTAATTATATGCACCCAATATATAAGAATTAAAATATAAATAAAGAAATCAATGGGCGCACATTTATTAACTAGTTTAGTATACTTTATTAACGTTTATTTTTTAACCGACTTAAAAAAAGGAGGAGGTTCCCAATTCGACTGTATTTTTTTCTGTTTGTTAGGTACCTCACAACTTTTTACTGGGTTTTTGATGATTCTTTCTTTATTTGAAAGCTAGTGCTTACCGTGTGGTCCCACTTTAATTTGGTCCAGATCTAGCAATGGCATCTATGAGAAAACATTCACTTACTTCTTTAAATTTGAAGTCGGTTCCATTTTTTTTAAAGTTTTTTCTTTATAATTTTCAATTTTAATTTATTAACCCCATTAGTGAGGTTACTACAATAACAATATGTAATAACAAAATTTGAATAACAACACAAAGATGAATAACAATATAAATTCACGGGTTCGTATAAAAAGTGAGAAGGTTATATGTTATTTAAAAAGTAAATTGCGAATGTGAAAGATTCATAGTAGGCTCAAAATTCAAATGGGTTCTTAAAGTTTGGTTTAAAATGTGATTTCTTTATAAATAATAACAGTGACAAGCTCCGATATATCTTATCCAACTAATATTATAAATGCAAAAGTTTGTGAGGATGGATGTATGTGTGTTTGTTACTCTTTCGTGAAAAATCTACTGGACGGATTTTGATGAAATTTGGTATACGGATACTTCTAAGCGTGGATATACATATATTTAGGCTACTTTTTATTTCACTAAACAGTTTCCTAGGGACCACGCGGTCAAAGCCGCTGGCGAAAGCTAGTTATATATATTTTAAACTTTCTAGTAAAATTATTAGGTAGAATTCGTTCATAGTTTTTTATATCCTTTATATTTTTTTACTTAAAATCTTTTGATATTTATCGTAAGCTTCTAGGCGAACAATTAATTTGATTTGATGCATTTTTTATCTAATACCCACATCTTCTTAGTCCCCTATTTTTGTTTGTTATATTGGATTTAGAATGTATTTTTTATTATTTTAATATTTTTTACCAGATCCTTTCATTTGATATCTATATCATGGCAGTACAGATAAAAATAACCAAGCCGGCATCTTGGGTCGTATGCATTATTAGATTTAAAATCATGTATTATCCTCTAAACTAAACATGCATGGAATTTTTTAGTTTCATCGGTTCTATTGCCATTGAAACATTCTATTGCCAGATTTGACGAATATACAGACATAAGTACGTCACAAGTGAAATAAAACTTTTCAAAACAGTTTACAGAATTTTTTTACACAGATTTTTGAAATAAGTTTTTTTTTGTCTTTATTAAGAATATGAGGTAGTCATTTATTAACTTCATAATTAGTATAATTTAAAATACTTAATTAATAGTTACTGTAGTCAGTTTATCTACCTTATAAAAATAGCATTTTTTTTTTCTGAAAAAATCTTCGGTAATTTGTTACTTTACACAAAAGTTGAATATTGATTGCGACATGAAGTTGGTTCTATGTATAAACAGCAGCGTGAGTAGAAATAACAATTCATTAATGTGATTAGATTTAATAAGCAAAATATTTTATTATTTAGGCATTTCTGTAAGTAGGATACACGATATCGCTTAGAAAGACTTTTATGTCGCAATTTCAACATGTGACTTGTGTAGATAAGAATTTTAAAGACACTTGAAATACAGAATTTGTAGGTTTTAGATATTTTCTTCAAGTTAATAAATTGAGGCATTAATGGATTTTAGCGGACCTCATAACGAGTAATTCGATTGAATTTTTATTTTTGTTTGTTCCACAATATGTTGGTCAGTAGTTGATCGATTTTAATGTATCTTTGAAATAGTATATTCTTAAGCAGGCGCCATAAGCATTTTCATGAGCATTCGAAATTCAAAACCCATTATTTCTTTTTTTTTCAAACTACTAAATTCCACTTAAGTCGGAAACAGTTTTGATGTCTTAAGAACCACTTCGAACTGGTGAATTTTTGAAGTATATTTCTTTAAGATATTAATTTTCGTCATTTGTTTAAGCTGACTTCTTGTCACTATTAGATACAAAGCGCTTTATTTTTTTATTTACAATGGCACAATAACAGACATCATACAAGAAGTACATATAAAAATATGCGTAAACCGTGTTTGTGCACTAATTATAACCGTAAGTAATCGAAAAAGGAAAATGGGCCAAGACCAATCACGATGCAGCCGGGTCCAACGGCTTAAAGTGACACCCGAAATACGTGGGAGCTCAAGATAATATTTTTTGGTTACCCTTGTGAAAGTTTTTAACAACCGTGTCGCAAACCGAGCGCGCTAACCACTGCACCATCGAGTTTTTTGCCACTTACCTTAGATATTAATATTATAAAGAGGTAAGATTTGATTGTTTTTATATTTGTTTGTTACATCGAATAGGATCTGAAAATACCTATATCTACGGATCGAATTTAAAAATTCGTTCGCCTACTGGGTGAAGTCGCCGAAAAACAGCTAGTCAGTATATGCAGCATTAAAAGATTTATTATTATTATTCTGCAACATTTCAGTGTCTTGGTACAATAAACTATTATATATTTCAATCGAAACTGAAAAAATATACGTCATTAAACATCTTGGTCTTAGATTTTTGCTTGTATTAATCTTTTTTTTCGATATTCACTTTATATAACAAAAACCATTGGAATTATTTTCTAATTTTTTCAACCTTCATTTTGTTTTACAATGGTAATAGGTCGTTGTTAATATTTGATTATTATTCCTTCCATTTTGCTCTTTTCTTAAAATTTCATCTTAAATTGAAGTATTATATGAATTTTTGTTTAAATATCTAATATGAATTTTCAAATGTAAGTAAGTAAGTGTAATCATTGTTGAAATATTATCTATTTCATAAAATAGCAATTTAACACTAACAATATATAATGAGCCGCTCTAGCAGTGACTAGCGTCTTCAATGTGTGATCCGAAAGTTAAATAACTTTCGTACGGACCAATGACAAAATGGAAGACCAAAAATCTATGATTTTGAGCTCCTCTGTGCTTCAGAAGGCACGGTAAACCTTTGGTTTCGGCTGCATATGCAATCGTTAATACCCACTAATCCGCACTGAGTCCGCATGGTGGGCCATGGTTCATTTTTTTCGATTCCATCCATATGGACGAAAGTCGACGAAAGTCTTTAATTCGTGCGTGTTGCCAGTGATGACATATTGTACTGAGACGTGGCCGCTTACGATGGGCCCCATAAGGAAGCTCAAAGTCGCCCAGAGGGCAATGGAAAGGGCTATGCTCGGGGTTTCTTTGCGAGATCGAATCAGAAACGATGAGATCCGCAGAAGAACGAAAGTCACCGACATAGCCCAAAGAATTGCGAACCTCAAGTGGCAGTGGGCAGGGCACATCGCTCGCAGGACTGACGGCCGTTGGGGCGGTAAGGTCCTGGAGTGGCGACCGCGTACCGGGAGGCGCAGTGTTGGTAGGCCCCCCACAGGGTGGACCGACGATCTGGTAAAGGTCGCGGGAAGCCGCTGGATGCGGGAGGCGCAGGACCGATCGCTTTGGAAATCTTTGGGGGAGGCCTATGCCCAGCTGTGGGCGTCTCTCGGCTGAAGTGATGATGATGATGATGATGATATGGAAGACTTGTACCTCAACAATGGGGTAATTAATAGGCTTACGCTAATGAATACATATGTAAAGTTAATAAAACTAATAGAGACAAATAAATACAATAATATTAATAAAATTCAATTCTCCTAAGTTTCTATACCGTAAGAAAGAGCTTAATTTTCATTAAACGATTAGCCTAGAACTAATATTTATGTCGTCTGTTGTTTGAAAGAGTCCCTCAAATAGGTTTTTATCAATTTTCTTATTGTCATTGTTTTTTTAACATTTTCTGAAACTTTTTCTTATTAGTTACGCTTTCGAAAGGATTGACGACTTTAAAAATTATTAACCATTTGAAGGGTTCTTTTCGGATGGATATTAAATACTATTTGCACCACATTTTAAAATATTTAATGTAAAAAATATTTTATGGAATATTCTATCTAGAGCTCTATATAGAGTCAGCATATTTTTTTATTGTTTGTTCGTTGAATGTTCATTATTATTTGCAAGTAAAGCGATTGAATAATTGTCATACAATCCTTTATATAGGCGGAGTTAAAAATAAATATATAATATAAAGATTTATTTTATGGTAGGTATGTGGATTCCCTGTTTAATTTAGTACTGTAATTGAAATAAAGGACACCAGTTATTTTTAAGTTCTCTATGGGGCAGAGGAATATATATATATATACGTTATATATGTAGCTGTGAAAGCAATAAGGACTTTAGAAATTCTACATTGTTTATGTTTATAGCTGTCCAGTATTGACTCTTATATGTATATAAATACATCATATATATTGATAATGAATCTATATAAAATAGTAAGTAAATGTTTGTATGAAGGTATATGATAAAAGCATTTTAATATTTTATTTAAATAGATCCAAGATCTATTATATATTATCTATCTCTGTATATTATACATTTGTAGATCAATGGACATCAAGCCAAAGGAGGCGAACCATATGAACCTTTCTCTACACCATGTAAGTGGGTGTTAGAATAATAGAATTTTGATGATTCGGCTCATACTGTTTTGTTTTAAGAGTTTTTAATTTTTCTTTTGTTTACCCTCCTCTAGTGCGTTTATATTTACAAATTCTTTTTTAACCATTTTACATTTAGAATATATTTCAGTAAAGCATTGTGAATGCAAAATTTATCAAATATAATAATTAGAACAAAATTTTAAATATTAAAAAAAAATCTTTTGGCTGTTTGGGTGGATTCCCTGAACATTGATGAAAATACGCTCTGTAGTTGTGAAAAAGTAACAAGTTCTTGAAAAATTCGTCAGTCCTGTTAGGTCCTGGGTAGCTGGTAGTTAGAGCAGTTGCCCGGATTGCAAAAGGTCGTGGGTTCGAATCCCATCTCAAAGTGGTAGGGCAAAGGGGATTTTTTAAGCATTTTTCATCAAATTCAAAAATAATTATATATGTATATGGTAACAACTACCTCGTAAGTTACTCTGTTCTTTAATAGGTAAAAGTGTGAGAAAATTTTAGTTGTATTAGAGTTTATCGTGTTCAATTAGTTGTTTTTTAAGAATGCTTTTTACTTTTGAATACATAAAAATGTGTAATGAGAGTTAATCCCCATTCGACAAAATAGTGACATATCTTTATTACGTTTCAAGATTTTTGTATAACTCATCGTTCTTATATTATTTTTTGATTTGATTTTTCACGACTGTAAAAAAAGGAGTTTTAAGTTCTCATTCGTGACTTTATGGGGGGATCATTTTAGTAATATCAATCCTCCCTTTTCTGCATTTTAAATTACATTATTTTGAACTTGTGAAAATCAATTCAATTAATAATAAATTATAGGTATTACAATTTATTGTCAATGACAATTAAAAATAGTCTTGTTTTACGTTTATTATACGTTAATATAACATTATTAAAAAAAAGCCGTATACCGAATACCAAACGAATATTCGGCGCATCTTTAATTAAAAATTATATCAAATATTTTATAATATTTTATTTTATATAAAACATAAATCTATAATTATGACAAATCATACTTTTTTAAACATCCTGTACATGTGTTGCTCCTGATGTGGTATAAATAAATGGTTATTTAGATTTACAAATTATTATTCTTTGCGTCGTTATAAGAGGTGAGTAGCCATTTTGTTTCTAATAATTATAAAGTTTTAAAAAAACAGCCGTCAAAGATAGGGCTAGGAGTTCTTGATAAATAAAATAAGTGCATCCATAAATTAAATTCTCTCAAAACCTCTAAGCGGCTCTCTCTTTCGGTAATTCACTATCATCAATGTTATGTTGGGCATACGTATTCCTATAGTTTAAACAGAGAACGGGCCATAAACCAATGCGCGGGTTCAATGCGGATTGGAGGGTGTTAATGACAGTATACAGTCGGGATCAACTGCGTTACGCGTCTTCCGAAAATTCACCATTTATTATTGTAATTAAATCCATTTTCGTAGGGTAAATTCAAATATGTAAGTCATTTTGTGGCAGAGGGAATGATGCAGCACTTTTACTATAATCGACATGGTTTAAGAGTTATTAATTAAATGCCGTACAATTTTTTTTATACCATACAATTCACCATCATCTTAAATTGTATTTATCTGACGGTACACGTGTCATTAGATAAAAACTTCAATTGATGATTCGAAACACCATCGTACAGTACACCGTAGTTTCATACATTTTAATATCAGCTTTTCTATTGTCCACAGGAATTGTCTGTTTATGTGCTCATCATGGGTCTAAAAATATTCGCTGTACTTCTCTTCGTGCCTGTCATCTACGCCAAGATCAAAGTGAACGTCGTAGCCTCAGATAATCAGGCGGAGCGATCCGTGGAACTAATCGGCAACAATTTAGACATCATCAGCGAGAAAGAAAGGAACACATTCCAGCTGTCGGAGAACAACCTGAAAGAGGCTGTGAGGATACACTTCGGTAAACGGCCAAACGAAGCATTCGTCCGAAGCCCCACGCCTTGGGGAGACCTCTACTCAATGTATGGCTGGCCTGAAGTAACCAGGATTTTGTCCCCGCAGCGTGCTAAAATCTATCAATCTTATTCCCAACCAGCGATAGTCCTGACGCAACATTTCGAGAATAACAGCACCAAGTCGGCAATATTCACCGCCAAGATTCAACAATCAGTAGAGAATACAGTTTCCTCGACTTGGGAGAAAGGCGGAGAATTGACAGTGGGCCAGGAGATCGAATACGGTTTTGATATCAAAGCTGTATCGGTCGGTGGAAAGACGTCCTTCACTTACACGTCGAAATGGGGTGAGAGCGTCAGTAAGTCGGAGACGGTCACAGTTGGCTCCAATACTGGTGTACAGATAACACTTGAGCCTAACCAACGAGTGGTGGCTGAGCTGTATGCGATGCGGGGCAATATGAAGTTCCAGGTGGACTACGAAGCGACCCTCACCGGTTGGACTGCTGTAAACTATGGTGACACTTACAAAGGTCACCACTTCTGGGGCCTGGACATTAACGGGGTGATGAAGGCCGGGAATTTACCCCAGACCGTCAAGTCCACAGAGGTGATCACCCTCGGCTACTACTCCAACTCGCATGTCATCATCAGGGACGCAAACACCAGCAATATTATCTACACAATTCCTTTAGCTGTTTCTGAATAAATCATTTAGTTCTTTTGTATTATTTTGTAAATAAACCTTTTTTATACTTTATTAGTTTGCTTTAATGATAGAAAACCTATTGCACCGTTTGGCATATGGCCTAGGACGTCAAAACTTTCGATGTTAATTATAAGACTTGCCCAAGCTTCTTTGGTTTGTTTTTAAAAATACAATGCTTGTTACATACACGAAATATTATTTCTGGGGTCTAATATTTTTAAATTTATATTTCATTTATGATTCATTTATAATATAATTACTAAGACTTGAATCGATAGTAGAGGTTCTCGATAGCGTTGTGGTTAGCGTGTTCGCTCTTCGACTTTCTCAAGGGCCGGTCATAGGATGGGTAATCAAAAACTAATATAGGATAATATAATATAGGATGGGTAATTATCTCAAGCTCCTCTGTGCTTCGGACGGCATGACTAGCCGTTTGTCCCGTCATTACAAGTTATTAACACCCAGCTATCCGAACTGGACCTGCATAATGGGTTATAGGCCATTCTCCCTATTCGATCCGATTCCATCCATAGACAAAGCGGTTGTTTCAATAAATTGAATTTGAAACGCCTACTAGTTGTATCTAGCAATCATCATCTAAAAAGTTTTTGGTTATTGCCCATTATTTTCTATAATCAATTAGTTAATTGTTAATTACTGAACAGTTTATTAACTACATTACTATTACTAGATAGTTATAAATATTATGGTGGCGTGTTCGCTTAACCAGATTTATTTACTAATCTTATTTTGTATCCATGAAATAACAAAATGTGTGACTTGAAATGATACATTAAATATCTTTATTTAGGAAATATATAAATACATGTTTTATAAGTGAATGCTTTCATTGTAATAAGTTTGCTACTTCGTTACATTTATGTGATAATTAACATCATCGCAGTAGGAGTCTGGAAGATTGGCGTTCAGCGCTAGAAGGCTATAAGAATTCTATAAAATATATAAATGTCAATCACGATTTATGTACGTGATAAACTTAACAATTCAGTCAGTAAACCAGAGTAATTTTTATTTCTATGAATGTACCTTCAATTATTTAATTGTAAATTGCAAAACGGTAGTTTGCTAGTATTTCTGTGGTATTACTACAAACATTCTCGAGATATTAAAGAATCTCTATATATATACAATTCTCGTGTCACAATTTTCGTTCCCGTACTCCTCCGAAACGGCTTGGCCGATTCTCATGAAATTTTGTGAGCATATCGAGTAGGTCTGAGAATCGGCCAACATCTATTTTTCATACCCCTTAGTGATAAGGATTGTCCACCCTTAAAATTTTTTGTCTACACTAGAAATTACTTAGAAATAATTTATATGGCAAAACAACATTTGCCGGGTTGCTACTATGTTATATATTAACTTTAGCATCCCAAAAACAGTTTATGGTTAAAGTTTACGGTTAAATAAAATTGTTCGTTCAGTTCAGGCTTTTACAGAGCACTTGAGAAAGTCGAAAGTTGCAGTTTGCAGGTAACATGTTATTAATATATTGTCTCCAAACTTTGCTTCCATTGTGTGTTCTCAGAGTAACAATAATATCCTTTTAAACCAACAAGGTACTTTATTTGGATCTCTACCGTTCCTCTAGTAGCGTTTAGAGATGCAATAGCTTCTTGGCCTGGATTAAGTTCAACTGACACTTCCGAGGATGAAGCTATAGTTGTGGTTTGGTCTGTGATGAAGTTAGCACCCCAGCTCTTTGGGACTCTCGTCATGACATTCGACCTAAGCCTGGGGGCCAATTCTACTAAATAAATTTTGTTTAAATCTAATTCCAGTTCTATTTTAGCTGGAATTGTATCGTATGTCACTTAGTAGAATAGAAAAGCCATAAAAAAACTGTAGTTTCGTTCGGTTTCGATCCGTTTTCGATTCGATTTATATAAAATTTATTTAGTAGAATTGGCCCCCTGAGGAATTTGTGAAATAAGTAAGAGCCTTTATTATTCATCCCCTTCTTCCGTCTTATTTCGACGACGAGCAAAATCGGGAAATATGTTTGTTTATAGATTGTTCTCAATTAGTTATTCCTTAATATATTTGGACTTAGAACTGTAGAAGAGTACGTTCCTACTAAACTCAGAACCAAAATATATATTTTTATTGTTATTAAAGGAATCGTAGTATTACCAATGTCAGCAAAATAAAACTAACATCGAAAAAATATTAGTCTTTAAAGTCATTTTAATTAATCGGTATTTTCAAATAAATTTAACTAGCCGAAACGTCATAGTATTCCACCACTCTTTTGAATAGGTGATAATTTTGAAAATATTTAATTAAATTTAAATTTATGTTTTAAAGCAACAAAATAACTCATGACGTTACACAATATTTACATAAGCAGCACGGATAACATAACTAATAAGTATTTGGTGATTGGGTAAACAGGAAAATTGTAAGGTTTCTTTCAGTTACTAAAATTCAGATACGGTCACCTCCAGAATTGAATATGGACAATCCAATTACAAATTTTAATTAAATTATTATTTTCCTTCCCAAGAAAATACAAAACGTCGAACATGTCGTAGCAACTGGCCGGAGGATCTGCGAAAAGTGGACTTGCATATATATTTTGCATCATACATATAATGAACAGTAATTTTTTTTCTGCTTCATTTATAAATATTGCGTTTACGATACAATATTATTTTTCTACAAGTTAAAATTGAGTTTCAATTAGAAAATGGCGTTTTTCAGGAAATTCCTGAAATGGTTGAATATGAGGTTGTTTATATTTATTAATTAGTATTTAATTTATCAACTTAAAAAAAAGGAGATTAGTAAAAACTATTTTTGCTATAAATTTAATAAGGCAGATAAAGCGGTTGCCTGGCAGATATTGCTCTTTAGCGATGAGGCCGCCGATTGTACAATTAAACTGTATCAATTGTAATTTTTCTATAATTTATGGTGTACAATAAAGAATTTATTCATTTATTCATTAAGGGCCCTCTCTAGAACTACACATTCCATTATACATTACTTGTTGGTAAGGAATAGTGTTACAATAAATCTAATATTTGCAGGAATGAACATAACATTGCATCCGATCATTGCACTTCTGAAAAAGGTCTTACGTTCTTGATTCTGATTATTGTGACCACCGGCAAAGCTATTGGCTACTTAATGTTTATATATTATTACTTATTTTAAAATTACACTGACTATTTTATTTAAATAATAGATCCAAAGAAGTTAAAATGGCATTTTGTATGTAAGTTACACTATAAATAACATTGACAATAACCTCACATTTTTGAAGTAGGTCAAATATGGAATTCATCAAAACAAGCAGTGAGATTTTTTGTTTTTTAATTTTCCAGTATAAAACTAGATCTGACCTGCCGCCATGTTTATGACTCATCTCACTCTGTTTATCGGATGCGTAACCAAAAATTTTTGACTTTTCCTCATTTTGCGTTTGATGGGTGATTCAACGCCTATTTACTAATACAATTAAGTATATGTAATTTTTTTTTAAAGGAAATACTTTGTGCTACAATAGATGGCGTTAAGTATTTCTACATAGCGCTGTTTTGGTCAAGGTTGAGTTTTAATAAAATGTAGTCAGAAAATCGTTATGTTCAAAGACTTTTTCGTAAATCTCAGTTTTCGATTAAGTTTTTCAAATATTTCATTTGCTTTTCTTTCTGTAGTTCAAATTGGATAAATAACCTACTGAAACATTATTGGATGTTAGTCGGTTAATTACATGTGTAGCTGTTGCTTTACCTTAAATAAATAAATATAGCTTTTTGTAATAGTGTCTTCGAAGTTGAAAATCAAAGTATTTAAATTCAAATAAAATTTATAATTGTGTTAAGTGTCGTGATCCGTAAGGGCGCTTGTGCACTACACTGAATTTTCATGTCCGGCGGTCCGATTTTTTCCGGTCCGGAATGACATGAAAAACTCGGATGAGTAGCTTGTGCACTTGTCCGTTTTTTTCCTGATCGGAGCGGCGCAGTGTAGGGCAGCTCTCTTTGAAGCTACACGTCACTTACGCTAGATACGATGAGATTTTGGAACGTCGGTAATTCCGTTCGAAGACGTAGAAAGGTACCTAAATAATAATCTGATCGTTTTACATAAACCATAATAAATTATGGCAAGACGAAAGCATTTTTTTTACTACTATTGGATGACTACTATCAGATGTAAAAACTTATACCCTGTAAAAAACTAATTTAGGAATAGTATTATTCACATACAATAGCTAAAAATATCTGGGACATTAGAATAAAATTACTGATAATGGTCTAATACTTGATGTTTAAATTTTTAAGCGTGCTATGTTTTTTTCGAAGTTTTGTAAAAACAACTTTCAGCGATTACAGAGATAGACTAATCGGTGGCGCCATTTCGTAAACAAATCGAAATTACTGCCATGTTAGCGGAGAATTATTATGCTAAATGAACTTTACGAGATCAGTTGACTGTATTATGTATAGGCATAATTTTATACGCGTGGTGTAGTTTCTTTGAGCAGAAATATTATTCTATTAGAATACTTCTTTTTTTTAAATTTATTAATGACACAAACATAAATTTAAAATTTTATTAAATGCGAAAAAGACATTGAGTGTGACTTAATTACTTTTGTTAATCTTCTGTTTATTCTTTATTATTACTTCTGTTGTCAAATATTTACCTATACTTATCAATTGTCTAAAAAAAATTTGATAGTGACAAATTTCCAGGCAAACTTTCATCCCCTATTTTTCGCGGTAGCCTATGTCCTATCTTAAAGTTAAGTCTATTTACTATATTAATTTCCATTTAGATGGGTTCAGTTGTTTAGGCGTCTAAGCGTAACAACACTTATTTATCTTACCTTAAGCTATCGATACTTTTAATACAATTCTAAAATCTAGCTAAGTATCGATATTAGAACCATACGCTGATCAAATTAGAACTTTACCGAGTTTACCAAAGCTTTTGCAGTGATATATACCAACTATATTAAATCTTCATACAAAATATAGCATTTTATAATCAACAATAAATAACGATTATAAGTTTATTGGAAATTAACAATATTGCCGAAATAAATATCGATTCAAATCGATTATTTTTTCCCAAGCCTATTCCTTATGAATTTTCCGGATCTCGGACACAGCAGTGCACAAGCGTAAACACGTTTTTCATTGCCGCCATCACGGACCTGAAAAAACCGGTCCAGAATAGAGAAAAGTAAAATTCCGGACGGTAAAATTCCTGACAGTGCACAAGCGCGCATTACCTACATATGGCCTGACATATCGGACCTGAAAAAATCGGACCGCCGGACATGAAAATTCAGTGTAGTGCACAAGCGCCCTAACAGTTAACCTGTTCCCTGGGCTATGTACAGCCGCATTGTAGAAGGACGTTGTGATGGTTATTCAGCGGATCGACGTTTAGCTGTGCAAATGAATGGCGATATTCTATTATAGGATTAGCTGCCTAATTAAACGGATGTTTTACTCAATTGGCTACGACATATTTATCATATATAAGTCATCACCAGTCAAATAATGTTTCCACTATTGGGGTTTATTCCTTCCCTATGGAAGGATTCGATTCGATTGCATCGATACATGGTGACGCGGTCCCTGTGCGGATTATTGGGCAGATGAAGCCGCCACCAGCCAACCGAAGCACGAAGGAGTTAAATTTCATACATTTTTGGTCACCCATCCTATGACCAGCCATTGTGAAACATACCTAACAACCGTACCGCAGGCCAAGCGCGCTATTCATTATTTTATTTTTGGTAAGTGTCTGGTAATCTTTGGTATTTATTATATAAGAGTGACAAAGGGAATCTTTTAATTTTTTCATAGTTAGGTATTAATATTAAAGCGAAAGTATATTAAGACTTGAGATAGGACATAGGTGGCTTTTAATTGTGATAAAATGGTTTTAAAGTTTACATGGAAGTTTGTCATTGTCCAAGATAAAATTATTAAACTTGAATAATATTTATTTTAGCGTATTTAGAAATGCTGCGTAAAGTAACTTTACCACGCGGACGAAGCGGGCAAAAGCTTTATAATTAATGCGAAAGTTTGCGAGGATATATTAACGCCCTGGGACTTATCTTAAAATACCAGGTAACCGGACCAAGCGAGAGGGTAGTACGGGGGGTTTTGCACGGTAGGCTCACTGCACTGGACCGTCGTCCCTTGCAGTGGGAGAGCCCGGGTTCAGTCAGCCTCTCGCCCAGGTCGATGGCATGTTAAGATCAGTTCCCCTCGGTATAAAAAAAAGGATATATTAACATATAGTATAATTCTTATCTCGCTAAATCGTTCCCTAGGCACCACGCGAGCGAAACCGCTGGCGGAAAGCTAGTCTTAAATAAAATCCTGCAAAATATTTTTTTTCCTTTTGAGGCAAAGATTTGATGACCACGCAGCGTTGTCCTTAGTAATTTTTTTTTAAGTCTATGTCAGTCATGTCATTAGTAAGAAGTGATACAGCTCTATCTCATAATGTGTCTTAAATGTTTAATATTTATTTTTCTTTTACCTTACATAATATTTTTTTACAAATATCTGGCACCGACCTAAAATAAAAAAATATTTCAATTTTTTTTAATAAATATTTATAAGTTATAATAACAGAAACCTGTGTTTTCACTTGTCACATCACTTGGTTTTTCGATTGTAACAATATAGCATTAATATTAAATTAGGTGACATTGGATTTTGGATTTTGTTGGTAATCTTCGAGCCATATAACAAAATCCATAATTATTAATTAAATATAAGTAAGGATAACATTAATTTATGTTTGGGTTATTTGCTATGTCTATGGAAGCAGGAAAGTAATTCCTAATTGATTGCGTAGAAAAACCCTCATATGTATATATACTAAATTTTGAAATGAGTGGTCGGTAGTAGTGTTTATAAGCGACAGAGCGACATCCAATACGATCAGTGTGAAAACGTGATTCGAAGAATTATTTACGTATAAATAAATTTTCAGTAAGAAAACTATATTAAACGGAAGTAACTATTGGGTAAGTAGATTAATCATACTTTTACCACAACAACATCCTAAATAGAAAGCTATCGTCTATATTCTTTGTAATTTTGAAACATTTTTTTTGTTTGTTTGTAATGAAAGGCTCCGAAACTACTTTCAATTTCAATTAATTTATTAGCCATTTATAACAATATTGTTATACAAGGTATGTCTAGTTTACAATTCATAGTATTTATTTATTTATACATAACTTAAATTATATCTAAATGTCTAAAAAAATCTTACAGTATCTTATTTGAGCATGTCATGAAAGTAGATTCGCTTATACGCATCGTCGAAAATTCATTTAAGGGATAGAAAGGATTATGGTCAATAAGCAAAAACTTTACTGATTTTTAAAATTCTTTCATCTAAGAAAGCTATATCATGCACGGGTGACATAGGACGTATACTATTTACTAACTACTTAGTATATTATTATATGTACCAATATCTTCAATCGATTCTTGGTCTATTTACAGGTATCCACGATGGCAGGAATCCATATAAACGTTAGGGCGTCTACTGACGGCGGGTCTGCAGTCAACTTCTTTGGTGAGAACGTCGAAGTCATCAGTGACCACGAGATCCAGAGCTTCAATCTCGCAGATTCTCCTTTAAAAGACGCAATAGAAAAGTACGCTGGAGCAAGACCAGCGGACGCTTACCTGAAAGGCCCCACACCGTGGAACGATCTTTTCAAAACTTACGGCTGGCCCCAAGTGCAAAGGAAACTGTACCCGCGCAGCGCAAGAGTACTGGGTGTCAACAGTCAGCCAGTCATAGTCACGACGCAAGAGTTCACCAACAATAGCTCATTATCAGCAACTTACAACGCTGGAGTCACTCATCAGGTGGAGGAGAGCGTTAACACCACTTGGAGCAAAGGCGGTGAGCTGTCAATTGGCAGTGAGATCTCATATAGTATAAATTTGGTCGCGGCTTCTGTCGGTGGTTCTATGAATATGTCTTATTCGTCAAGTTGGGGACAGTCGACGAGCAAGAATAGAGCAGTGACAGTGGGAGCCAGTTCAGGTATGGAAGTGGTGTTAGCACCTGGACAATCTGTTGTAGCGACCTTGCAAGCCGTTAGAGGCACTATGCAAGTGGAGGTTGACTATAGGGCCACTTTACAAGGGGTCGTGGCTTGCAACTATCCAGAGAAACACAATGACCATCATTTCTGGAGTTATGATATTAATGCAGTGATGGATGCGGATGGAAGGAGAAAGGAAATAGACTCCACAGAGGTGATTACTATTGACTATTATTCTGATGCGAAGGTTCATCTCAGAGACAGGGACACAAACGCTCCTCTATAACAAGACACCAGCTAATTTATATCATTGGAGTTTTGTGATTTGAATCGTTTTCTGATTCTGGTATTTAAAATATCTTTATGATTTTTTTGTAATTATACAAACTTAGATTAATATTTTTTAAGGTTAATCTAGATAAATACTCTTATAAGCAGAAACTTGTAACAGGTTTTTAACGGTTCGCAAATCATTAAGTTATGTATGGAGTTATGTAATAGCTATTAAGCTTGTTGGTTGGTTCAAACTAGTTTTGCTGAGCATCTCACACTAATAAGTTCATTATTCAATTCCTAGTCGGACATGTCTAAGTTGTTATATTTTGATCTTATCTTCTATGTTACTGTTACGTTGTTACAAAACTTAGTTATTATTTACTTAGTTATAGTAGAATAATAGACAGTCTTATAATAAAAAACAAAAACAATAAATAAATAAGAACACACAATTAACTTGCTTGATTTCTATACCTATAGGGTAATGGAGCATTTATTCGCATGTTTTGGATTTCCACTCAACTGCCCAAAATAGCAGGGCTAATGATGTGAGTTTCCTTCGCCATAACTTTTGAAAGACTTCTAACGGGTATGAATGTTTAGAAACGTTGTATTATACTGAGCAACGCTTGCTTTACGCTATATTTAAAAATATTTTTTTCAATATAGCAAATGTAAAACCCCTGTAATAATTCCGTCTTTCATTATAAAAATATTTATTTATTTAATATTTATTACACTATATTATAGTAAATTTATGTATGGGTCACCAATATGACTATTAAATCAAAGAATTGTTTTTTGAAAGGTTAAAAATCTCGGTTATCCGCGAGACTTTGTGTGTAAGCTGTCTCTTGTCTCGGGTCTTTGAAATTGTCGGAAATTCCCAACTCTATCAGATACACAACGGATTATGGAACTCTGATACGAAGCTACAACAACACCTAGACCCAAGAAAATGTAGAGTTCATTTTCTACATTGATGAAACATTGGCCGATCGGGAATAGAGCGACAGTTTAAACTAAAAACTTCTTTGGTATCAATCGCCTTATTTGGTCGATTGAAAGTCCAAATATCATTTTTTAAACAAGTGTCCATGGATGTTGTTTTCGATGATGCTTCGCCATTTGTAAAACAGGTTGATAGAGGAAAATGTTGTAGATTCCCATTAGGACAGCAATAATCGTCGGACTGTTAAATATTCATTCAATATAGCTCGTTCTATTAAGAATTGTAAAGAAAAAAAAAACTACTAAAGCGCGACAGAAAAAATATGTAGGTGTAACGGTGCGCCGTACCACCGTTTATTTCGTCCTAGGTTTCCGCATGCAACCTTTTTGTCTTTGATATCCAACATCATTAATTTTTATTACTCACTTTTCGAAATTTGAAATTTTCAGTAATCTAATATTCTGATATTCAAAATCAGATCGTTTGTCGAGTTAGAAACATTATACATACTTAATTTCAATCAATAGCAATTTGTTGTAAAAAAAAAGTGTTAAAATCTATTTATTATTACCTGTTTCCGTTATGCTCATGAGTTTGAACTCAAGAAAAACGTATACTTAAATCAAATAAAAAGAAAGTTAAATTGCTCAGCAAACCCGAGGAAAAGGTTTGTTTACCCTTTATTAAATCAAGTTCTCTAGCTGTCACATAGGTTTCTATAGCTGGATATTTCAGTATGTTGAAGTACTAAGGGTACATCAGTGCCCGGTGTGAAGGACAGGCGTCGCCTAACTCTCTAGCCATAGCTATAGAACCATTTTATTGTTTTTACCAACGTGTGTTGATATTTTGAAATTGAATGTTTTTTATCATTTATATATATGATCAAACATTTTATCTTTCATTTCGAAATAGCTTTGTTTGTCTATCTTAAGACATGTTGTAAATTGTCTAATTTTAATAATTCAGTAAACTAAAACAACCAAAAGCATTGATTAAATATGTAAACAATGAAACAGGAACATTGTATAAGAATATTAACATATTCATTGTTAGTATTCATAGAACGTTCTTATTTCTGAAATGTTTTTCTGAAATAGACATTAATATAAATAATTATGTATCAAAGTTTTTGAAATGAATAAATTGAAATTGAAAAACGCTCTTATAGCCATGGCTAGAGTTACCATGGCAAGATCGTTAGGCAGTCGCGCTGCAATTGCTGAATATTATTATTATTTTTTAAATTACGCCTCTATTATTATAATACCTATTTAATATTTACTAGAAGACAAATGTTTACATATGTTCAACGATGTTCCGTACATTGGAAAAGGTTGCAAAGCTTGGTTTTTTACTATAACCCTCCCTAATTACGAAAGTTTGGGAATTTATGGAATTATTGTGGAGTGCGTGGTACTGTATCATACATAATAGTATAAAGCAAAGATGCACCCCGCTGTCGGTACGGTGAGATCTTTTAAGACGTTGTTTTTTAAAATGGTTTTTATCAATTTGACTGATCCAAAAAAAAGGTATCTGTAGATATAATACAAAATTATGCGGGGAAAAGAGTTGTATGAAGTACGCTTCACGTCACGCTACACACCACCACTAAGCAGACCTCTGTTAGTAGGGAACTCCTATACGAAGCGCGGTCGGTACAAAGTCCACAATGTATATTCTGACCTGCGGCCATATGTACCAATACAAGGTACTTAGTATATTGTCTCAAACAGTAAAAAGGTTAATATAAGTACTTGCAAATACTTGCAAAAGAGCTTTTATGAGTGATGTTAATCACTCGGATCGGCCTGCGATGCGGTTAAGCTACTTTCGTAATGCCCAGTCATAGGATGGGTGACCAAATTTTTATTATCTCGAGCTCCTCCGTGCTTCAGATGGCACGTTAAACGGTTTCTTTGCACGTTAAACTGCTTGCGCAGCCGTTAACACCTACCAATCCAATCCACACTTGGTCCGTATGGTGGATGCCTATTCTCCCTATTCGAATTCATCTATAGGAAAAGCCTAAGCCCCTAGCAGAGGGGACATCAATAGGTGATGACCTATTGACTAATTGAATAATTATTAGTTGTGTACATTTGTATTGCCTTTGGCTGTTTTATGTACCGTTTAAGTAAAAAATTATAAAAAAAATTAAGATATTGCCATTTCTTAATTGCCAGGGTCGATTCCCGGTCAATTTAGAAAGTGTTTATATTCAAAATGGGTTGCCTGGAAGAGATAGTTGGTTAGTAATTGGGCAATTTCTATCTTTTTTGTATTATGTACTATGTAGTGTTGTCCACACGTTGTCCTGTCTTAGTTATGAATATTGAACTCGGAACAGTTTTTTTTTAATTATAGTTTAATATTATATATCACCTTCTTGTTGGAGTTTGCTACGTCAGTTCTTCTCAGAAAATATGTCCAATTTTTGAACTAATGGTAGTTTATGGTAGAAAAGAGCAAATAAACAAATAATAATAATATTTTTTTTTTTTAAATTTAAATTACTGTTTGTTTAGAATTATTTATATATAAAATCCCTAGATAGCGAAAAAAACCACCACTACCTTGTACTATCAAGATAGATAATACAAGGTAGTATATGAAAGATTATTCCGCTATAATTATAATGTGTGCAACATAATTAATGAAACCTAAGAAATGTCATTACATAAAAATATAATTAATATCACTGTGTTTAATTTGATTTAGTATAAGAAAAAAAAATTAGGAAGTATTTTAAGAAAAAAAGAAAGCACTAATAAAACACTTCACTAGATGGCGACTCTACCAAAAGTTGATTTTTGCAGAAACGAATGAGCTAAAGATAGTCATTTCCGTTCCTATTAACTAACATATTAAAAAACTGAATTTTGCAAAGTTCGAAACTTAGATATCAATACAAATACGATAAAAATACAATATAAATATAAGTTGTTTATTAAGTTTTGGAAAAATAATTTACATGAAAGAATACCGGGTTGTCATTGAAAAATCAAGAAAGAACCGTAGCGACATCTAGTTTGACATCGGAAACTAATGTTTTTTAAATACTTCTTCATTGAGTGATTAAGGTAGCTAAGTAGCTTGTTTTTACAATATACTCTTAATAAAACGTTAAATTAAATTATAACGTGTGCAACTATAATAAATTTTATAATTGTACTGTTATTTAAATTGAAAGCCCCCCTAAATTATCAACGTATATCATTACACTTATATTTTACTAAGAAAAATAAAATTGACAATGCAACTCCATACTTAACCAGTTCCGAAGTTCAGTTGTCGCCTAGCTAGAGTATTTTCACAGAATATACTCTGTGGTATTGTTGGTTGTAGAAGTGTACTTGAGTATGGAGTATCGAGTATTGTTCAAAGAGTACTTTTATATATATATGGAAAGTATTGATTAGATTAGAAATCATTTTATATAGTGGTTATATATTCTTAAATTTTCCACAATCATTTCTTATTTTTTTCTTTCATAAGAACCTTCTCCTGACAAGAACAACTACAACAAAAACCGGCCCAACCGTTGACGTGTGATGGCATGACCAAGGGAAATAGGGATTCATTTTTATATACTATTAGTTATATATATATACATATATAATAATACAAAAAAGACACATCTCTAAAAGGCTCATTTTTTTAATTCTTTATTATAGATATTATTGATCTAGCTTATATAATATCCCGTTTCGTCACCAATAATTTGGTACAAATAGTTATAATAGCATACTTGGCATAACAAGCAAGCTAGATGAATTTTATACAGCACATATGTAACTATTACTCATCTATTCAATAATTACTAATTAATAATAAATACCACTGTAAATTCAGTGTTACAACATACAATTCAGCTGAATGGCTTAGTAAAAAAATAAGATAAAAAAACAAATGTTTATTGAATTTGCAATTTGAATGCAAATACAATGCTCTAATAGAGCATAACACAGTTAAAACATACAGCAGTGCTATAATGTTATAAAAACAGCATCGAACTCGACATCGAGCACAGCGCTATCATTGCTTAGAAGTTTAATCAAATTAAACATACTTCAAAATGTAATAAAGTGTAATATTTCACTAGTTTTCCGCCAGCGGCATCGCCCGCGCTGTCCTGTTATGTATATAAAATTCACCAACTATTTCCCCCATTTAGGGATTAAATTTCTAAAACTCCTTGCTCACTGATATCATAAAAGGAACACTTGTACTAAATTTCAAGAGTCTAAGCACAGTAGTTTCGGTTGTGCGTAGATATATAAATCAGTCAGTAGATATATAACTCAGTTAGTAGATATATAAGTCGATCAGTAGATATATAATTAAGTCGGTAGATATATAATATATAAGTCAGTCAAATTTGCCTTATTTATATTATTGAGGTTTTATGACGAGTTCGTCGCTGTTTTGTAACATAATACCATTGCAGTAAATCACTACCGTTTTTATAAGTTTTAAAATTTACCTGCGCGCCAAGAGTTTTAGTCGACATAATATATCGAAGCATTTCAACCAATAGCAAACGATTCAGCGAAATGTTTAATGCCAATTTTATTTACGCGCCTTTTAAAATAAAATTTCTGCGCAGGTACATCGGTGGAACTTATAAATATTGTTATACTATAGTAAAAAAAAAAGAGTTATAAATTATTAACATTGATACATCGTAAGGGTTGCAGGTTGGTGACCCCTGCCATAGAGTGTTGTATCATAGATGCTCTTTTTCTAATTCTATCTTACTTTTGTTCAGACACTAAAAATGTAATTGAATTAATACAACACTGTTAGTAAAGTTGCAATTAGTTGCACAAACGTCCATTAAGGTTAAATTACGACCTTAAGCTCTAATGAATATTCGAAAATTTAAAAATGTGTATTAATGGCGGCTTAAATTAACGACTATTTTAATGGGCGTTTGCAGACCTGGCGTAAGTCCTCTTTTTTTTAAAAAGTCGTAAATTATTAAATGTGATAAGGCGAATATATAAGTTACAGTATTTCAACTGTATTAAAATTGTTACAAAATTGCTTTATTTCTCTTGCAAGTCAAAAAAATGTGTCCCATTTAATAAAGTTGGTGTACTTCTACACCTAGCATCTGCAAGATGTCTGTGCAAAGCGAATGAATACGAAATGACATAGTTTTTATGAATGCCGTTACTTCCATTAGAGCCGGTCAGCTTCTTGCTTATCTTTCTTATCAGCCAAAAGATTTCCCGAACGAGTGGTAGGGAAAAAATGTTGGATGACTCCAAAGGTACTTTTTATAAAGTATATTTTAATAAAACTTATTTTGACTTTGTGAGTGGAATTCGATAAATATAATCATTTTCTAAACACCGTTTAAGGCTAGTTTGGAGATCATTTTTTCCCAATCGATTATAAACATTAATATTTAGACATTAAAGTTCTAAATAAATTGCAGCAAATTAGACATATACTGCTATATGTACAATGTTTCCTCTGCTCATTACATCTAAAGTCATGGTAATTTAAAATATTTAACACAACATTTAATTGGATGTAGCTACAAAACAGTATTCAACCAATGAAACTCATTTATTATAATGGAGGCAACAAACAAAAGGGTCTATTCTCAACAATATAGTATCAGTGATTATGTCAAAAATTATACTACATTTTCCAGTTCATTTGTGACATAGCGGTATACTCCAATATAGACACGACTTCTAGATGCCTCTAGTACAACTATTTCTAAAGCGCTTTGACATTTTTAAAAATTCTTTACAATTTGCTTTATATGGTTAAAATTATTAGAGTACACTAATGGTAATGCTCGGGCAACCTAAAGATGTTTATTTCACTTTCCATTTAAGTTTGCTCGTCAAAGTTCCCTTACATTTGCCGCGACGAACCCAATAGAATAATAATATACAGCAAATCACAACTAGTATCTTATGCATATTAAAATAAGGGTTATTGAAAGTTTTCGACTATATATTCGGTCAACATTCGAATTGATATGGTCTGAATGCTAACTATTGAACGTAATCATGGTCGCAATTGCAATTGTGTCGGTTCATACTCTTGATTTGGTATACTAGCGGCAATTAGCTCAACATTGGGTGTTTATTGAATGTCCTAATTGACATTGAGTAAGTCTCGAGTATGTTTCGAGAGTACGAGCTGAGATTTCATGAATATTGAGATCATTATTGGATTGGTTTTAAATATACATTTATATTGCGTTCAAGAGTAATCCAGCAGGTTGGCGCAAATAAATATTCACGATGCGCCATATTAGGATGTACTTTACTTCTTGGTGATTATTTTTTGTCATTTTCTTTTCATTTAATTTGTGATGTACAAAGTTATAATAGGTATGTGCATTGCTTTTAAGGGTCGGAAGGCACCTGACGAAAAATATGACATAACATTCAACCTTACAATCGACAGATGATCTGTCGCGTACTTCCGTGATAGACTTGACGGATCTTCCGTTAGAGTTGCACCGACCCTTATAAGTTCATACCAAAATATTTCTTATGTTTGTATCAATTAATGTTTTTAATAAATTGTTACATTAGTAATATTGCAGGCATAGGAGATATAATTCAAAGAAATAAAAACTTTGCTGTGATTGGATAAAGTATTAATTACTAAGTAATTATTTAATTACACAGCTCTAAATTTGTATTTTTGCATAGATATATTTTTTTAATATACAGGCCCAACCAAAGAGCAACAAATGACGCATCTACAATTTTTTTGCTGTGAAATTTAGATTTATGTTGAGTAAAATTACAATAAATAAATATAAAAATCATTGTATACATATAAGTACGTTTAAAACATTAGAATGTAATAAGATTGACAATCCAAAAAAAAAACAACAATACTGAAATAAAACATATAATGTTACTGTCGGGGTACTGAGGTGCTTCTATAGAAATTGTAAACAGTTACAGTATCCATATTAATCGCAGCCAAATTCACATTCGACACCGTTCATCTTTAAATAAACTCAAAATATCTTACGTTAAATCGTCAGCATTTCATCGACGTCATACGGTCAATGATATCTTCATTTCAATGTTCCATCGCACTAACACTTCACAATATAATTATCACAAACACTTCACTGTGTCACTGGCACACAACACTCATATGAGCCCGTGGCGTTTTTTGTATTCCTCGAGGTTCAGCGAACGTTTCGGGCCAGTCTCTCTCACTTTAGTCGTCACCTGCTTCGGTTGGGAGTTGGCTACTTCTGTTAAACAAATTAAAAATATTTAAAACATTTGTGACTACGCCCGCGTAAGTTGTAGCTGCCTTAAGTGAAAGAATTTTTTAAATGGGTCCAAGGGTTTATAGATATTCGACGCTAACAAACAACAAAACCTTTCCGCATTTTAATTAACTAGTGGCCGCCAGCGACTTCGTCATTGTTTTCCATTATTTCTTCGCACCTAATAGTTGCAGCGTGATGTTATATATATAGCCTAAAGCCTTCTTCGATTAATGGTCTATTCAACACCAAAATAATTTTTCAATGCGAACCAGTAATTCCTGAGATTAACGCGTTCAAACAAACAAACTCTTCAGCTTTGTAATTATAGATTATTAATAGATGATTAAAAATGACAAAACTACATCATATATATCAGGGCACAGAAAGGACCAAAACATTAATAAAATTTTCCCTATGAAAAAAGGTATAATTTTTACCTTTAATTTTAGCTTTTTTTATTCTTTCTTATAAATATCCAACTCATTTTGTAACTGAAAACTTTATGAAGATAGATGTATTTTTACAATAATTACATTGATGGCGACTAAATGAGATTAACTAGAAGCTTATGTGATATAAATGTTAATTGTGAGTGTAGTTTAATTGTTTATTGTGAGTGTAGTGAAACTGTTTATTGTAAATTTAGTGCAAATGGTTATCAGAGTGTGGTATTATTGTTTATTGCCAGTGTAGTGTTAATGTTTATAGTGTATCACTTACTGGGCATGGGCAGATCTAGATCGATGCTGATATCGAAGTCATGTAAGCTGTAGAGGCTGGCGGATTCGGTGGGTTTTGTCTTTGGACATTTCTCAGTTTCCTGCACCTAAGATAAAAATCGATAAGACATTAATTTATTTATCGATTAAGTTACTTAAAAATATAACTAACAGTCAATAAATATAATAACCAAAACTAGTTCACAACTGGTTCATGTTAAGCTAGAGCTCTATGCCTGGGCTTTTATGACTCAGACTATTACAATTACTAAGTACAGGTCTTCTAAGCACTAATATTAATACAGCTACATAGAGGGAAGTTCAGATATAGCATTATTTTAAATAAGTACTAAACGATAACTCACCACGGTAAGTCTTTCTTTCTCTTGTCTCTCCTTGATCGCCTGCTCTTCTTCTTCTCTCAGTTTCTGTGCTTCAGCAGCGGCTTCTTCTGTTCTTTGTAGCTCCTAATTATTCAATAAATACAACATAAGAATGTATCTACATAGTAAAGAGAACTGTTTCTTCTCTATTTTTCTTCATTTAATAAGTAAATAAGTAGAATAAATTTATTTACCTGACTCCTGTTGCCCTGAGCTTTGTTGAAGTTCATCACTGGTTTCGTGTGACGTCTAGTGAATGGATCGTCTGCTTTCTTACCCTTATTCGCTTTTACCTGAAGAAAATATGTCAATATTTTAGACATAATAAATTTTATTGCTTGAACCAGTCTAATATTTAAAACCAGATCTTTGAACTATTCAGCTGTCCCGCTTGTTTACAAATTTCCAAAATATTTAGTGGAAATTAAAAATATAATACATGAAATACCCACATTGGTTTTTTGTTATATTGTAACAATACATGTTTTCATAGGAAAAGTAATTTAATGAAATTAGTATTTGAATAATGCATTATACCTTCCCAAGATTAAATAATATGTATTTTCTCAAGGTCAATTCTAAATAATATGTCCTTACCCAAGGTCAACTCTTATCTCTGTACCAAAGTTCATTTTAATTTTAACATTGTTACATTTTCAAGCTCAAGAGTGAAAATGTAACAATCAGAATTACTTTTGCATTAATAATATAAGTATGTTTTACCTCCTCCATTATGGCCTTCTCCGCTGTCTCCACATTGAGTTTCCTGTTTCTGTTGTTGATGTACGATATACTTTGTATCGATGAGGTCCTGGTTTTATCTAAATGGTTCGCTCGCTCTTCCAACTCCTGTATTTTAGCGTTCAAATCCATCACCAGTTCATCATCACCTCTGTATAAGAAATATATAAGCCATTTATAAATAATGATACACATCAAATACTAGGTACAAAACAATGTTATTGCACAAAAATCAATTGTACTGTTGATAGTGCCGTCTCGCTTTCTCACCTGAGTTGCGCTACGTCTCTCTCTTTCATCAGTTGAGTCTTCTTCATGGCATAATTGGTGGGATGGGAACGGAACCTCTCTTTCTCAGCTACAATTTTTTCTATGTCTTCCTCCTATTATTGAAAAATAATCACATAAAATCAATAATATTCAAGTAATATATTAACTAGAAAGGAATTAGAATACTTTAAACACTGATAATTAACTTGGTCTATATTATCCGGCGTCTGGATGGTTGTTTAGTGTCGTCATACTTTACACAAAACATTTATAAGTTATGCAGGGTTATTTGCAAAACGCCGACAACTTCACAGGTGTAGATAGCCATCATCATAAGCATAAACATATGCCTATCTTATACATATAATTTTTTTTTGTCACGATGTATGTTGCCAATAAACTCCAAAACCACAGAACCGAATTCAATCAAATTTCACATGTACCCGTATTTTGGTCTAACTTACTGGATAGGATAGTTATCATCTCAATTATTCGCTTATGGCGTTAATGTAAACGAATAAAATGTACAAATTAATTGTTTCTTAAGCAAGTGTTTATTTACTGTTTAGTTTTATGAAGTTCTCATAGATGGCGGTGTACTTGATTCATAGATAAAATTCTTCAATATCGTTTGACATCTAGGTTGCAAATTCACCCAACAGATGGCGCTGTGTTCTAGATGATGTTTATTCTAAAGTAATCTGCGGTAACATTTTTTTTGTTTTCATCTGTATTTCAATTTGCATTGAATTGGATTAATATATCAAAAGTTTCAAAGATAAAGTGCTGAAACATATTGGTTTTTTTGTTGTACTATCTTCGAACTTAAACATCAAGGTAATTTCATCATCAGCTCAAAAAACAACAGCGTTTTTGGAAAATATATGTTGCCCAAAGTAACTATATCACGCGGACAAAAGCTAGTTTATTATAAATCAAATTCCTAGATGGCGCTGAATTTACTTTTTTTTTATCTTTTTAAATCATAGACGATCGCTGATATTGTTCTTATTTTATTGACATCTTTTAACCGACTACTCTGTGCATCTGTTTTGTGTATATATCGTAATGACGTCATGAACATGGCGGACAGCATTTTTGCGGGTATGATAAAACTTTAAATATTGTTTTAATTTTAAGGCAAAAATAAACCTTTATTTTTCAGAAATATTTGTTTTATGGGTTTTGTAAGTCAAAATAAACAAGTAGTAATTCAGAGTATACTCTATCGTGATATATTAAAACTCGTAAATAAAATGTTTCAACAAATGCTTAACATTGTATATATAAAGATCGTCGTGAATTTTTCTATATAGTCATATTAAAACTAACCCTAATACGTAGCGTTAAAGTACATTATACAATGTCGCTTACCTTGAATTCATACATCAATGCGTCTCGAACTTCGGCTATCTTGTTCCTCACATATTCCATGGTGGGCGGTCTTTTGTTAGCGTCTTTTATTGCTTTATGCCATTTCTGAAACTCGCCGTCGGTGAATTCCTACGGCAACGAAATTAAATAAAGTCCTATTGCATTTTTTTTAAATCTTACATGCAATATATCTTAAAAAAATATCATTCATATAATAAATAAAAAATCTGTTTTTTTTTTTTTTAATTTCCCGCGAAATCGCCATCTTCCGTCATGGTGACGCTATGACGTTACGCTCCTCTAAACTAATATCATTCTGTGTATGCTTAGGGTTTAATTATTGTTAAAAAAGTGTTTGAAACAGGGGATGAAACTTTGTGTTTTAAATGTCAGTGACTATTCTATATTATATTATATTACTTAAATTACAATACTGAACAATAAAAATTTAATATTAAACTGACCTGATTGCTGACAAACTCCAAACGGAACACTCTATCCTGGGTGCCGTGCCTTAACTTGAGCCCTTTATTAGTCCTAGTGTTACCCAAATTATATATCTTGGCAGTTTCGTACACATCTATGATTTCAGCCACCTGAAACGAACGGTCACTTACAAAATGTCAGAAGTACATAGATACATTATTGCATAATTAACTTGCGATATATAATCTGTGAATTACAAGAACCGAAACGAGAGTGGCCTTAACGGAGCATCGTATGATGTCACATTTCAATAAATTTGACGTTAACGTGTTTTTTGTAAGTGCAACCTGTACTGTACTCATGTTTATTGAAATGTGACGTCACGGCCAATACATAATAATGTATAATTTTTTTTTTTCCTTTTTTCATACTTTTTGGAGAGAAATAAATCTGACAGTGGGTAAATATGATATGAAAATTTTGAAATACTTTCTCGAATGGGCTAATAATGTTTAAACCCGGTGCTAAAGTAACTCCTCGTTTTATGATATGACGGCTAAAATACAAAAATATGTATATTTAAAAATATTGATAAATGCTTTTGTAACAACTGACCCTGTATACTGGGTTGCCGTTATTGTTCCCGATGCCGATCCTGACGAAGCATCCGGTGACGACGCGCGCGAAGAACGGAAGGTGAACCAGCCTCTCCAATTTGAACCTTGCACAACAAACAAACAAACAAACTTCAAACATTTTTTTTGTTTTTTATCTACACTCAAATCGAAAAATTCGAATTAAGAATTCAAAGACGATTCTTTACAAACGCACTTTATAAAGGCATATACATAAAATTAAAAATAAAACTCATTATAGTACCGCTTTCTTTTTTTATTCATTTAAACTAGTCTATGGTTTAGGCTGAATATGAAAAGAAAGGCGCACGCATGCGCAGTTCGAACTGTGAAAAAGATGGCGCTTCCTTGTAACCTACCTATTTGTTTAATTTAAATTTTATTTATATGTGAAGATAAAGTAGTGTATGAAACTGTATATAACTTAGGTATTAAAACATTCGAGTCAACCTATTATCATAATATGATAAACAGACTCTCGTGTTACCCCTTCTTATATGACAGTTGCATAAACTACTATTATAAAATTACATTGTAATTATAAATTTAAAAAAACCTACTACTCTCTCTCCTACTTTACTCTTTGGTCACTACTCTATGAATGGCGTTCAACGTTTATACAAAACTGTTTACTGCGTGTACTAGTGCTGCAATCTGAATTGTTAATACTGACCTGCTGAGTCGAAGTTTATTTATTTGATCCCTAGAGTCTGCATATTTCACTTCCACCTCCTCCCTCTTCTTCTCTTCCTCTTCTCCCTCTGACGAGGAGGAAGACGACGCGCTTTTTCGCCCTACAATGCGATCAAGAATAATTTAGATAAATTATGAATTTATATGTCGAACGAAGTACCAAGTATGCACGTATGGTGCTACATTGAATGGCACAATCGAGTTATTTAAAACTTGAAGTCTAATGATTTCTGCTACTGTGTTATGATTTTATGTTATTGTGTGTACAACGAGATTGATATATCAATAAAATAAAGATATATCGTGCACCTAAAATCACTAAGCGTAACTTAAAATATTTGTTGCACTTACGCCCGGTTTCTGAATTGAGAATTTGAAGTTGAGCAGGTCTCAAACCGTGCTTAAGCCACTTTAAATGTCATTTAAGCATGTTTTCATTGCTGATTTATAAATTTTTAATTATCAGTTGATAGCAATTTGGTAATTCTAACACTTTTTGCCATATGAAACTAAAAAAAACTTAATTTATTAAGAATAATCAATTGAGATTTTGTACTTTCTCAATTCAGAAACCGGCCGTTAATGAAGAATGCTTAAAAAATCCATTTGTCCCTGGCACTCTGACATGGGACTCGAACCCCCGACATTTCGCAATCCGAGCGACTGCTCTAACCGCTGAGCTACCCAGGACCTAACAGGACTGACAAATGTTTCAAGCACTTGTTACTTTTACGCTAGTACAGAGCGTATTTTCATCAATGTTCGTGCAATCCACCCAAACAGCCGAGTTTTTTTTTTTAATATTTAAACTTTCAATAAAGATGAAAATTTATTCTAATCATTTATTCAAATAAATAAAGCATATTACACAAATTGGCAGAATCGATGGGAGACTTTTAGGGAGGGTTTTACACTCAAGTTCAGGCACCAGTCTCCACGATAAATTCTGATGTTCCTGATACGCTCTGCACTTTTGTACATTTTTTGATATTGTGGAGAAAAATAAAGAAATATTATTATTATTATCATATTTTCATAATAAGCATTTTTTTATTGATTATGTCACTTCTGGCCTTGCTATAAAACATAAATAAAATTCCTTCAAATGTACATTTAAAAATAATAAGATCTCATACCAGTCGACTTATTGTCTTCAGATTCTGAACCGGAATCATCAGAGTAAATGTCAGATGCTTTGAGTTTGACACTTTGCTTGCTCGTGCCACCTATAATTTCAGCGTCAGCATCCTGTTGAAAAAAAAAAAAAAAACTATTGACTAGAAATCTTTTTGCTCAGTGTACATTTTATGTAAGTGATGGAAATGCTTTAACAGACGTAGAGATTTGGTTCTAATGTAGCGTTTGATATTTTTTAGGGATCCGTAGTAAACATGAAAATCTTATAGTCTCGGCATTTCCGTCTGTCCGTCCGTCCTCGATTTAGCTCAATAACTATTGGTACTAGAATATTGTAATTTGGCATGATTATTTTAAGTTAATTACGTCGATAAAGTGGTAAAGTAAAACTTCGAAAAGAATGTTTTTAGGGTACGTCCCTTACATTTAAAGTGGCGATATATATCGCTGGAAACGTCTTTCAAAAACATCGGGGGTGTGGAAAAGCCGTTTAGTAAACCGTTTGTGACTTAAGCTTTAAAGAGCTAATTTTCATTAGAGTCAAGTGTCCCCCCCCCTCCACAAACTAAACGGTCGTTGGTAAAAATTCAAACGCTACGGCAGTAGCTGTATATAACGAAGTCGAAAGGAAAACTATTACACCTTTATCACACTTTAGTTGGCTTTACAAGTTTACGAGTAATAGTCAATCAATTGTATTTAACTTGAAAATTTCGAACAACTCCCTAACTAACAACAGCTTCATAAACCTTTTTAACACTAGCGCAGTCTATTCCATTTCTTGAAAGTTTTTAGTGTTATAAATTTAATCATGCACGTTTTATTACTATTTCAATGCAGTTGCTCATAAAGCGTTTTTTTTGTAATCCATTGTAAACACCGAAAGTGAGTCTTTAAATACGTGTTAAATAAAAATGTACTGAAATCCTTTACTGCACACGTGCTTAAAAGTATTTTTTTAATTTTTTTTGGCCGACCACCAAAGATATTAAAAAAAAAAAATTTGATGATAATATGTCAAACTTTAGAGGCAAAAGTATTTCAAGAAGCCTAGAACGAATATTTTCAAATAAAAATGTATGACACGAAAACATGTTCAAATATCACGTTAAATTTTAACAAATAATTTTTACCTTTAATACATACTTAGTTTTATTAACCTATATATTTGTTTTATTTCCTCGCAAAAAGCATTCAATAATGTTGTAAGAAACTTGAGCGTAAAAGGTTTTTCGAATTCGTGCCGGTTTTCATTGGCACGAATTCATTGGCTCGCTACGGTCCTGTTTTCAATTCGGCCCTTATTCGTAAAACCTTACTTTCTGCACTCGTATCTTAAATAACTATTATAGTGTAAGCAGCGTAGTCTATATCATCTTACTTTTATATTATGTCTATCTTGTTTATATACAACGTGTCCCAAAATTCAACGATAAGCGGGCGCCAAGAGGTAGACCTGCTCATGTGTACTTATGGAAAAATAAGAAAAAAATTATATCTTATTAATCTTTTTTATTATAAAATTAAATTCATCAGTTATCATGAAGTATTATACCATTATGGAATCTTCATGAGCTGCGTCAATTTTAAAAACAACTTGCCGCAGTAGTGTCCATACTTTTTTTCTACATGACTGTGAGTCAAAGATTACGGAACGTAAAAATATGTGAAAATTTAAGGAAAAAAATACATTTTGATTGTTTTTTGTGTAAATACTGTGGGCATTTTGGTGTTTTTAACAGTTGTAGCGAATATTAGTACTACTTAGGTATCCGATACCAAAAAAAGATTGAATATAATTGAGAAGTTGTGGTCGTGGTAGTTGAAAATATCATAAAAGGTGTAAATTTTCGAATTTTATCTTATAATAAAAAGATTAATAAGATATAATTTTTTTCTTATTTTTCCATAAGTACACATGAGCAGGTCTACCTCTTGGCGCCCGCTTATCGTTGAATTTTGGGACACGTTGTATATATATATATATACTGACGTCGTCCTCCTCCTTGTCCTTGTTCTTCTCCTCCTCGAGCCTGCGCTTCTGCTTGATGTGCTCGACCCTGGTGGCCTTGGCGTCGCGCTGGGCGCGAAGGGCCGCCATGGCGTTCTGCCTGCGGTCGTCCACGTTCCGCTTGCGTTCCGTTTTAGCCCCGAACAGAGGCGAAGCGGAACGCTCTGAAGCTTCTACGGGACACATTTCAAAAGTATGTACAGTTAAAACAATTCATTGGGACTCCGTCTATGTTAATTACCAACGGATATACAAATGATCGATGTCGGTGTGGGTGATAAGCATGTGTGCTAGATGTGAGTATCGGTGACATCGATGTGAGTGTCGTGACGTCGATGTAAGTGTCGGTGACGTCGATGTGAGTGTCGTGACATCGATACGAGTGTCGGTGACGTCGATGTAAGTGTCGGTGACGTCGATGTAAGTGTCGGTGACGTCGATGTGAGTGTCGTGACATCGATACGAGTGTCGTGACGTCGATGTAAGTGTCGGTGACGTCGATGTGAGTGTCGTGACATCGATACGAGTGTCGGTGACGTCGATGTAAGTGTCGGTGACGTCGATGTGAGTGTCGTGACATCGATACGAGTGTCGTGACGTCGATGTAAGTGTCGGTGACGTCGATGTGAGTGTCGTGACATCGATACGAGTGTCGTGACGTCGATGTAAGTGTCGGTGACGTCGATGTGAGTGTCGTGACATCGATACGAGTGTCGAGACGTCGATGTAAGTGTCGGTGACGTCGATGTGAGTGTCGTGACATCGATACGAGTGTCGTGACGTCGATGCGAGTGTCATGACATCGATGTGAGTGTCGGTGACGTTGATATAAGTGTCGTGGCGTCAATGTGAGAGTCGTGACATCGATACGAGTGTCGTGGCGTCAATGTGAGTGTTGTGACATCGATACGAGTGTCGTGACGTCGATGCGAGTGTCGTGACATCGATGTAAGTGTCATGACATCGATGTAAGTGTCGTGGCGTCAATGTGAGTGTCGGTGACGTCGATGCGAGTGTCGTGACGTCGATACGAGTGTCGTGACGTCGATGCGAGTGTCGTGACGTCGATGCGAGTGTCGTGACATCGATGCAAGTGTCATTACAACGATGTAAGTGTCGTGGCGTCAATGTGAGTGTCGTGACATCGATGGGAGTGTCGGTGACGTCGATGCGAGTGTCGTAACATCTATGTTAGTATCGTGACATCGATGTGAGTGTCGGTGACATCGATGTGAGTTTTGGTGACGTCGATGTAAGTGTCGGTGACGTCGATGTGAGTGTCGTGACATCGATGCGAGTGTCGTAACATCTATGTAAGTGTCGTGACATCGATGTGAGTGTCGGTGATATCGATGCGAGTGTCGTGACGTCGATTTGAGTGTCATGACATCGATGTAAGTGTCGTGGCATAAATGTTAGTATCGTGACATCGATGTGAGTGTCGGTGACGTCGATGTGAGTCTCGTGACATCGATGCGAGTGTCGTGACATCGATGTGAGTGTCGGTGACGTCGATGTGAGTGTCGTGACATCGATGTGAGTGTCGGTGACGTCGATGTGAGTGTCGTGACATCGATGCGAGTGTCGTGAGGTCGATGCGAGTGTCGTGACGTCGATGCGAGTGTCGTGACGTCGATGCGAGTGTCGTGACATCGACGTAAGTGTCGTGGCGTCAATGTGAGTGTCGTGACATCGATGTGAGTGTCGTGACGTCGATTTGAGTGTCATGACATCGATGTAAGTGTCGTGGCATAAATGTTAGTATCGTGACATCGATGTGAGTGTCGGTGACTTCGATGCGAGTGTCGTGACATCAGTGTAAGTGTCGTGACATTTATGTGAGTGTCGTGACATCTATGTAAATGTCGTGACATTGATGAGAGTGTCGTGACGTCGATTTGAGTGACAGAGAGTCGTGACGTCGATGCGAGTGTCGTGACATCGATGTGAGTGTCGGTGACGTCGATGTGAGTGTCGTTACATCGATGCGAGTGTCGGTGACGTCGATGCGAGTGTCGTTGCCACGGACGCCAGTGTCGTGACATCAATGTGAGTGTCGTGACGTCGATGTGATTATCGTGACATCGATGTGAGTGTCGGTGATTTCGATGTGAGTGTCGTGACATCAACGTGAGTGTCGTAACCTCGATGTGAGTGTCGGTGACGTCGATGCGAGTGTCGTTGCCACGGACGCCAGTGTCGTGACATCAATGTGAGTGTCGTGACGTCGATGTGATTATCGTGACATCGATGTGAGTGTCGGTGATATCGATGTGAGTGTCGTGACATCAACGTGAGTGTCGTAACCTCGATGTGAGTGTCGGTGACGTCGATGCGAGTGTCGTTGCCACGGACGCCAGTGTCGTGACATCAATGTGAGTGTCGTGACGTCGATGTGATTATCGTGACATCGATGTGAGTGTCGGTGATATCGATGTGAGTGTCGTGACATCAACGTGAGTGTCGTAACCTCGATGTGAGTGTCGGGACATCGATGTGAGTGTCGTGACATCGAGTGTCGAAGACATCTATGTGAGTGTCGTTGCATAAATGTGAGTGTCGTGACATCGACTTGAGTGTCGTGACCTCGATGTGGTTGTCGTGACATCGATTTGAGTGTCGTGACCTAGATGTGGTTGTCGTGACATCGATTTGAGTGACATCCATGTTAGTGTCGGTGACGTCGATGTGAGTGTCGTGACATCGGTGTGAGTGTCGTGACGTCGATGCGAGTGTCGTGACATCGATGTAAGTGTCGTGGCGTCAATGTGAGTGTCGTGACGTCCATGCGAGTGTCGTGACATCGATATGAGTGTTGGTGACGTCGATGTGAGTGTCGTGACATCGATGTGAGTGTCGTGGCGTCAATGTGAGTGTTGTGACATCGATGTGAGTGTCGGTGACATCGATGTGAGTGTCGTGACCTCGATGTGATTATCGTGACATCGATGTGAGTGTCGGTGATATCGATGTGAGTGTCGTGACATCAACGTGAGTGTCGTAATCTCGATGTGAGTGTCGGGACATCAACGTGAGTGTCGTGACATCGATTTGAGTGACATCGAGTGTCGAAGACATCTATGTGAGTGTCGTGACATCGATGTGAGTGTCGAAGATATCTATGTGATTGTCGACAACAACGACGTGAGAATCGTGACACCGATGTTTCACGATTGTCGATGACATCGATGTAAGTGTCGTAGCATAAATGTGAGTGTCGTGACGTCGATGCGAGTGTCGTGACTTCGATGCGGGTGTCGTGACATCAGTGTAAGTGTCGTGACATTTATGTGAGTGTCGTGACATCTATGTAAATGTCGTGACATTGATGAGAGTGTCGTGACGTCGATGCGAGTGTCGTGACATCGACATGAGTGTCGGTGACTTCGATGCGAGTGTCGTGACATCTATGTAAGTGTCGTGACATTTATGTGAGTGTCGTGACGTCTATGTAAATGTCGTGACATTGATGAGAGTGTCGTGACGTCGATTTGAGTGACAGAGAGTCGTGACGTCGATGCGAGTGTCGTGACATCGATGTGAGTGTCGGTGACGTCGATGTGAGTGTCGTGACATCGATGTGAGTGTCGGTGACGTCGATGCGAGTGTCGTTGCCACGGACGCCAGTGTCGTGACATCAATGTGAGTGTCGTGACGTCGATGTGATTATCGTGACATCGATGTGAGTGTCGGTGATATCGATGTGAGTGTCGTGACATCAGCGTGAGTGTCGTAACCTCGATGTGAGTGTCGTGACATCGATGTGAGTGTCGGTGACATCGATGCGAGTGTCGTGACGTCGATGTGAGTGTCGGAGACGTCGATATGAGTGTCGTAACCTCGATGTGAGTGTCGTGACATCGATGTGAGTGTCGTGATATCGATTTGAGTGACATCGATGTGAGTGTCGAAGACAACGACGTGAGAATCGTGACACCGATTCTTCGAGTTCTTGAAAACTTACAAACATTATTTAAATACCTTCATTTAGAAAAAAATTATAATGTTATCGGAAAAGCAAATCTGCGTCATCCATCACCGACGCGTAACATTTTTGTCAAACAAATTAACTCTTATGTATCTTATAAAACTTATCTTACAGTATTATTACATAACTATACCTGCATCTTTAGGGTCGTCCAGGATTTCTCCAGGACTCGGTGGTGTTTTCTCTTTCTCTTTTTCTGGCTCTTCTTGTTTTTCTTCTTCGGCTTCGGCTGTAATAGAAAATGCATTTTAAGAACATTATTCTTCCATTCCTTCTTAAATACAAGGTTTGTAATTATCCGCTAAATGTCTGATAATTATCCGTAGTTGCTGGTAACAACTTTTAAAATAAGGGAAAGCATTAATCATTAAATAAACTTATTTTTGTAGTTTTTAATTATAAAAACTAAATAAAGAAATTACATGTGAAATAACATTGACAAGTGGTAGGGGAAAAACATTTCAAAAGTGCTTGTAATAGCCTAATTGAATAAAGACATTTTCATTTCATTTCATTAAACAAAAAGTGAAATGAAAAAATATTTTCAATAAAAAGGACTATTTATTTTCAATAAAAAACAATTGTCTCTATCAGAGAAACCATATTTTATAGTTGTTTAAATAACTCTCCTTTAATAAAAAGACCTAAAGTACAAAATTTTTTTGTGTAGTGTTTTATAATCGAAGTTCTAAAAGTTTGTAAGGAAGCCAGGCCTCCAGCTAGAACTCGGTTAGAGAGAAAGACCGCGGTACCTATCTGTCTTCTCTGCCTACTCGCGCATGCGCAGTCAACTCGGTAAGGGAGTACAACAGAATGATTTCTTTAGAGTACGGCGATCTCGTCTCTCTTTCTAAGTTACCGTAAACAGATGGCAGCGTGTCGTCGTGTCGTGACTCACCTCTGCTCTCCACTTGTTGTCGATCTCTCTCCCTCTCCCTCTCCCTGTCCCGCTCCCGCTCCCGCTCTCTCTCCCTCTCCCTCTGCCTGCTGTCCCTGAGAGCTTTGCGTCTCTTTCTGGCTTCACGTCGGCGCGCTATCTCTCCCGGCGACGCGGAACGTTCCGCCGCTGAACGTCGAGCCAAACGAAGTTTGCGCTCTATCTCCCATCTACAGATACAGATTATAGGGATGATAATGACTATAAAAAAAAAAAGAAATTCTATTTAGTCCGTCAGTCAGATAACAGGAAAATTTTAAATTTTATTTCAACTTAACAAGAAATGACTCAGATCAGAACAGGCATCAAAGTTGAAGAAATGTACAGAAGCGTGACGTCATACGACATTTCTAGACGTAATTTATTGATAAGGCAAAAAAATCAAAATACTTGTTAATATTGTTCAATAATCTACCTAACGAACATTAGTCCCCGTCCCCATTAAATATAATAATAAGAACAATAAAAAAACCGATGGAATAATCAAACATAAGACTTTATTGCATTACATTAAGGTTTACATTCGTGAGTAGCTTGATGGCGTAGTGGATAAGCGCCGCGGCCTACGATCGTTGTGGTTAAGCTACTTTTATTAAAAAAAATATATATTTTATCTAGAGCTACTCCGTGCTTCAGAAAGCAAGTTAAGCCTTTGGTCCCGGCTGCATTTGCAGTCGTTAATGCCTTGTAATCCGCATCGGGCCTGCGTGGAGGGTCTTGGCCATCCATAAGGTAGGTCAGAGTACCTGCACGTATACATGAATATGGCAACTGATTACAGGTGGCGTGCGAACACGGCACTTTATTATTAGTTCAAAATGATTTAAAAGCACCACTGGAAAATATAAAATATATTAATATTTTTTGATGTTGACTCACCTAGTTTTCATGAGATCTCTCTTCTCTATTCTTTTGAATATTTCTTGTTCCCTCTCTTTCTCTGACATGGCGGCAAGACGCGCCCTGTCCTCTTCATCGCCCATAAGATTCTCATCATATCTATAAAAGTATTCAGTCAATCAATGAAAGCAAAGACATTTTTAAAACCGATAACCATTAACGAAATGCAATGATTAAGTATTTGGTTTTTCTTTATTTGAGTTTTCTTATTTACTAATGAAATAATACTATCGAAAAAATATAATATAACAATTTACCCATCATCAAATTCTTGTTCTGAGTCAATAGAATCGTTGTCTGAAGAGTGTGATGACACTTCACCTGTTAAAAAACACTAGTTGAGTAAATCTTTGCAATTGATCTTGATAATTGAATTTACAATATTTTTTACACTAACTGACCTTCTTCAGGTTCACTGAATGAATCTTTCTTTTTCCCATATCCATTGCTGTCGGTGCTTTTCCTAATTTCTGTCTTCTTAGGCTCTGGTTTTTTTCTGTTATCATCTGAGTGCTCCGAGGAAGCCTTCCGGGAAGTGCGTTGCTGTTCCCTTTTATTTGAAACGTCACTGCCTACATCGCTGTCGGATTCTGAGCCCGAAGATGATGACGATTTGGCTGGAAAGTCAACGAATTTGATTCACTGTGTGGGGTTTGGTCTAATAAATCTGTTATGTTTGCAGTAAATCCAGCTAGACCCATGACCAAAGGCTGTATGTGTGTTTACAAAAAACGAGCCTGTAAGCCAGCCCGGCCCATGAGTTTGGGCCACTCAGCTGAGGAGGTTCTCAAATTATCAAATTTCAGTGACAATAGAATAAGTAAGAAAATCCACCTAGAAATATACTAACCCTCTTTCTTGTCATTATCATCCCAATCCGATTCACTGCCTGATGACTTCGACTTAGCTTTCGCGGGTGGTGGTGAATCACCTTTCTTCTTCTTTTTTGCGAGGTTCAGGAATTGCTATACAAAAAAATTATTAATATTAGAAAAAAATTATAATGAGACATTATTCATTTTGTCATACTTTTAGACTTAATGTAATAAATTGAATACAACAAAAATGAAGATGTTCGCATCCGTTTATTTCGCATGTCAGTTTTAATGTGTCGCCATCTGAGATCCTTGATTCGATTACCGGTTGGGTTAATGTAGAGAATGCACTTTTCTGCACTGTTTAAGGTCTGGGTGTTGTAATACCTTTGTTGTCTCGGATACTTCATAATACGGGGGCCTCATAAGAATTGTTGATGTATCCACTTATTGTGTATGACGATGTACGATTTTATTTAAGACTAGCTTTCCGCCAGCGGCTTTGCCCGCGTGGTTTTTTATTATACATAAAAACCTTCCTTTTCAATCACCCTATCATAAAATCCGTTGCGTAGTTATTAGGGATACAGGGACAGAGAAAGCGACTTTGATTAATACTATGTAGTGATAGTGATAAAAAAATTGTGGTACTTTTTTCTTAATAAAATTTATTATGAGATATGAACAACCAAAATTTAACTATGATGATATATAGAAACCAACATCAATATGTCCATTGTAGCCGAGAACTTGAATTTGTATAAGTGTTCTGTTTGCTTTGAGTATGCCCATTTGTGAGCATGCTTAATAATAATTTATTTGCTTTTAAGTAAGGTACATTGTACATTGAAATACAATTTGAGTTCAGCCCATTTAGCCATCAGCAATAGCATGCAAATATTGATAAAATTATAAAGTCATATATCCAATGTCAAAATTATTAAATATGAAGTATCATTGTTACATAAAACTATTATTGAATAAAATTATTATTCCCACTTACAATTATCAAACAAATTAAAATTTTAAATCAGTACAAATATAAAAGAAGATTATGTCAGATTAAAAGAAAAAGAAAAGTCATACATTGTAAGACATTACAATCTTTTCAGTGCATGTATTCATTACTTACTTTTATGATTTAAATATTCAATAACACTATAAAAAGCATTATCACACAGCCATATAAATAGAGCTTTTTTGAAGCTATTAAACAGAAGATTCTTAATGTTAAGAGGGATATTATTGAAAAGCTCAATACACAACCAATAACAGTTATACTGGAATCGCGCGCTCCTTTTAATGATATCAGAAACCAATCTATCACAATTTCTGGTATTGCGTATATATACATTTTTTGCCTGTTTGAAGTGACACATAAGTATTTTGTTTTACGAATTCAGCAACTTCAAAAATGTATAAACAAGGTGAAGTTAATAATTTTAAAGATTTAAAGTGAGGCTTACAGTGTTCATCAGATACAGCACCACATATCGCCCTAATACTTTTGTTTTGAGCAACAAAGGTTTTTTTTAATGTCTGTACTGTTACCCCATATGAGAAGCCCGTATCTAAGAACGGATTATACGTAAGTGAAATACGTTGTAAGAGCCATACCCTTAGTAGCTATCTTTGATAATTTATAAAGAGCAATTAAAAATTGGTTAATTTTATTGCAAGCTTTTTCTACCTGATTTTTCCAATCCAGTCTTTGATTAATTACTATACCTAAGAATTTTGTTGAATCAACATTTTTAATTATCAGTTGTTAATAATTTATATTAATTATTGCATGAATGTTATTAAAATTTATTAATTTTTTATTTCTGAGCCAATCAATTATAGCTATCATTGTTGTTTAAATGTCATTTTTGTGTTCATCTATCGTAAACTTGTTATCCGTTGTGATTATGATATATCATCAGCAAATAGAATGCGTTGATGTTCTGTATCATTATGGAGATTATTAATGTATATCAGAAACAGCAGTGGGCCCAAAACACTGCCTTGGGGAACCCCGAACTTGTTTCTCTTGAATTTAGAATTATATTTTTGTGCTACCTTATAAGTATCCAACTTAGAAATTTCCACAGATTGGATCCTATTTTCTAAGATTTTTGTTAAACAAAATCGAGTCGGTTTTTTAAACACTACTACCTACCCGCATATAAACCTCATATTTAGTTTTGTTCAATCACCCTCAGTTTTCGTTAAACATAAACTATATTGATTACGCGAATTTTGCTTACCGACGTATGTTTCCGATAAATTAATATTGAATTATTGAGATTAAAACGGTTTTTTTTTGTGATTGTCGTTTCTGTACATCATTATAAGATGCCCAGAGTGTGTGTAAACCATCCTGATAACTTTTGTTACATTTGCGGTCAACTTACTATTAAAAGTCAACGTCGTAATTTGACACCATTAGTTAAAAACTGTTATTTTAATTATTTTGGCTTTCCGGTGCGATATTTGGTGAAAAACTGGACTCCTAGTGTTTGTTGTGCACAATGTGTTAGTTTATTAACATCTTAAAAAGGGATCTCGTCATGGGGCTAAAGGATCTCTTCATATGCCGTTTGCAGTTCCAATTATATGGTCTGAACAGAAAGACCATGTATCAGATTGTTATTTGTGCCAAACTTCTATCAAAGGTATTAATCACAAATCTAGACACACCGTGAACTATCCGAATTTACAATCTGCTATTGCTACCTCCATTGCACATCAAACTCGGACTTATAAAAAACTTTGTCAAAGCTATGGACAGAAATGGAGATGGTTTTTGTTACTTGAAACAGAAATTCCCAAAAATCAGCGATGCCAAAATAAAAGAGGGAATATTTGTAGGACCACAAATTAGAGATCTACTGTCTGATAAAGAATTTGAACAAAAACTTAATCCGATCGAAAAATCTGCATGGACATGTTTTCGAAATATTGTTAGTAATTTTCTTGGAAACCACAAGGCCGAAAACTATGAAGAGTTGGTCAACAAACTCTTATCAGCTTACAAGAATATGGCATGCAATATGTCGCTCAAGATACACTTCTTACACTCTCATTTGGATTTTTTTCCTCAAAATTTGGGAGCCGTTAGTGATGAACACGGCGAGCGATTCCATCAGGATATATCCAACATGGAAAAACGGTACCAAGGCAAGTGGAGTCCGAACATGTTGGCTGATTACTGTTGGACACTCAAAAGAGATGTACCTGACGCTAAATATTCCCGAAAATCCTGAATAAAAGTCAAATGTTAGTTGTTTTTCTTGATTAAATTCAATTTTCAACCATATTTACTTAAAAAAAGTGTATTGCAGTTGCAAGAAAACTGAGGGTGACTGAAACTTTTTAAAAATGCAGATTATTAACAGGCTAATTGTAGATACAAAATATCCCATTCAAATTAATTTAACTTTCATTAAGGTCATTTTTGTCAATCCTTTTGATATTTTGTATTCCACATGACTGAAGCCATGGGCAGAAAGCTAGTATCTCAATATAATTAGATTTTTGAAAATAATCAATTATTGATTAGTGTAATAATTACTTTTTTTGTTTAGTGCCTAAGTTTACTGTGTTTACCCTTTTGGTAACAATTATTCTTTAACAGGTATATTATTCCAGAAAGCAAACTACTATACAAGATTTGGTTATGGTACCTATACATATTTCTAAATTATATATTATGTAATGTGTATAATTTTGTTATTTAGAAAATTTATCAATTACATTTCCTCTACATAGATATTTTTAAATTGTTTATCACATAGCAATTGATAAATTAAATAAACCTTTTGTTACTACTAAATAAAATTCACCAATTATTTTTATACATAGCAACACAATATTAAAAACAAAATTGTAACTTGTTAACAGGGAGTTCCATTTACACCAGTTTATATATTCAAATATACCTTAATTTCTCATTATGTAATAGAAAATCTAGACAAAAGTGAAAGTCTCCACCCTAAATTATATAACTGTCAGAATATTTCACCAAAAACCTGAATGTTAATGTAACAATGTCTATATTTAATATGGCAGATTTATGAGATTTTCATGAAGAAACATATAAAAAGGCCCCCCTTTTTGACGAACATCATATTAATGATCCGAATAATAATATGAAATTAATTTCATTTCTTAAAACAACATGAGTCATGCCAATGGATTGTTTTGCAGACATGTTTTACAGAACGAAAATACTATCATATGGATTTGTTTTGAGTATGACTAAAATAGATTCTGCAGTCAATTTCCTGGTTCGATATGACACGTTTCTGAAGAATATTGCGCATTATGCTGAATTAGCACAGAGAAACATTGATCTTGGCCTAAATACGCAGACGAATCACTGTAAGAATGTCGTAGAATCTGGCTTGTCAGTAGCCGTTTTTCTAACCTACGATTATGCTTTAGATACTTACGGAATCAAAATCTGAACACTCGCTGCTAGAATCTGAATCTATTAACGGTTTATTCTTCCTTTTCGTCATCGTGTAGCACTTAGAAAAACTAAAATAAAACTGAATTAATGCGACGCGACCACTCGCAAAGCAAATTCGAACACTTTTTATTTTTTAATTCAAATCGATTAGTGCGAGGAAATATTCAGAACAAATCGATTATTCAAATAAACGGATAATTTTTTATCGTTAATATCGATTCTACATTCGATCATTGAACAATGATTTAAAGTAGAATCATAACAGTCCACTTCGTAACAGGGGCGGACGAACTAAGAAAATGTATTGTCCTTACGTATAATAAGATTGTACTGGTTATATACTCAAAATAATATGTCATTTCGTATATTTCAATAATAATAATATTTTTTAGTAATAATATATTTTAATTCGTTAAAAGATTAAATTGATATTTTTAATGTTGTCTTAGTTTCATTTAATTCCATATGTGCATTATAAATTATCTTATAAATCTACACATTTTGCACTATATATGTTCCGCCGATGGTGCAATTGCGTTCGCGTCGTAAGTATTTTTAGCGGATCGCGCTGGTTGCTCACACTTTTGCTGCAAAACTGAGACTGGACAAGACAAGAAGACCATCAAGGTGTGCGTGAGCGCCCTCTTCCTATTGGTAGAACTCAATAGAATTAGAGTAACACGCCAGTCCGATATTGGTTTTTGCATCATCAGCGAATACAAACATTTATTAAACAAAGGATCTATATATAACAAAATATCTTATTACGTAAACTAACGTATAATTAAGCGTAAATTTAAAAGGAGCGGGCCGATTGTTATTCTATCGTCTGGGTGTTTTATAAGTATGTATTTTGAGTATCTATTTACAACAAAACTATTTAAAGCAAAATATGCGTTCCCTGAAAGTTAATTAAATCGGTGATTGAATGTTAATAGTTTTTAATGCAGATGAAGGTTGGAATATACCACAGAACATATAGAGAGATTAGAAGTAATAAGTGGGCGGGGCAAGCGTGGCTGGCATATGCGCTTTTACTCATATGACGCCCTTTCCTCGGTTTTACGTTTGCCAATCGTTCGTCAATCGTCGAGGGGTGATTTTACAGATTTTTTCTATAATAAATACCGTTTTGTACTATTATCACTTGCAGAAAGCAAAACAAAGTATACAATCTAACTAATGCAAACATTTCCTTTCACTGGTATATACATGTATCATGTTAGTTATTATGAAATGAAATGAAAATATCTTTATTCAAGTAGGCTTTTATAAGCACTTATGAATCGTCTAAAAACTTTTTTTCCCTACCACTTGTTCAGGACGTCTTTTAGCTGACAAGAAGAACAAGCGAAAGAAACTTACAAGCTCTTTATCATAAGTAATGACATTTACATAAATCATGTCATTTCATATCATATCACAATAATAAATACAACTTTCAAAGTCTGTAGGAAATAGGTTGAACATATAATTAGTCTTTATAGAACAAAGCGAAGGCTATTAATTCCATGCATTGCGATCCTTAAAATAATCATCAACTTTATAAGAGCCTTTACTCATAAGTATGTTCATTACATGAATTTTAAATTTATTTATGGATAATTAAATTTATTTATGAACTTTATTGAACATAGCAATGCATTGACCCAGAAATTATCCTCTGGTTATCTGAAGTCTGAAGCTTGGAACGGCAAGTTTATTTTTATTTCATGTGTTAAGATTATGAACACTACTTTATTTTGTGAAGAAATCGTAATGTTTTCTTGCGTACATAATATTTTCATTGATGTATTGAGAGGCAACAGTCAAAATATTTATTTCTTTAAATATTTCTCTAAGAGATTCTCTAGACCGTAAAGCTCTCTTTTGTAGAATAAAAATATCTTAAATGCTAGCCGCAGAATCCCACAACAATAGATTATACGTCATTACACTATGAAAATAACTAAAATATGCCAATCTTGCCGTTTCAACATTTGTCAAGCGTCAAAACTCAGTCTACTTGACAAATTATCAATATGAGGATCCCATTGCATTCGGGAAGCTAGTGTAATACCAAGGAACTTTGTCGATTCCACCAACTAAACTTTTTCACTATTTACATTTATAAGTGTATTAACATGCCTCACATTAGGTAATGCAAACTTTATGTATTTCGTTTTATTTGAATTAAGCTTTAAATAATTACTATCAAACCACTGTGAATATTGTCGAACTGAATTACATTTAACTGTTTCATATCAAAATTTAAAGCTCTTATTTTATTAGCTAATATTATGTCACATCACTAATATGCACAATTGGAATGATACCAGTAAGAAAAAATTACAAATTAGGTTTAATGTAATTAATACAAAAATTCTGTTGTTTTCTTATTTTTTGTTTTTTTTTTTTTTTACACTTTCCCTCGTTTAATTATATTACTCACAGACATATGATAGAGTATATCATTAAGTTTTCTTAGTTTTTGTAACCGCAAAACCCAAAGTAACAGTTAGTTCTTTTTCGCATATTACGTATTACGTATTACTGGGTAGATTGATTTCATCCACCATCATTAGACTAGCGGTCGGCAACCTTTTGGTAAGCAAGGGCCACAAGGTGGCAAAATAAAGTAAAGGCGGGCCCAGTGGCGTAGCTAGGTAACCTAGGGCCCTGGGGCAAATCAAAAAATGGAGCCCATTGCTATCAAAACTGGTAAGGTTTTTTGAAGTAAAATCATTAAATATACAGATACTTTAAAAACGCTAAGCAACTTTATAATCAGCTCTTTTTCGTGCATGGTAATAAAACTATTAAACACTAACAACATAATTTACAATTATTTTAATACTTGGTGTAGGTATTGGGCAATAAAACGAAATAGAAAAGATTCAAGGGTTTATTATATATTTATTTATTCATAGATACGTTGCACCAGCTTACTGTTATTTAACCTATCGCCGATGCAAGCTATTTATAAAAAATATTAATAGAAATATTTTGTCCAGAAATCCTTGCAGAAGGCCGACTAAAAACTTGTCAATTTTGGGCAATTTTTGTTTACTTTCTTCTCTTTCTTGGCGTTGTTTGCGTTTAAATGCATCACTGGGTTTCTTTTTATTTTTGTCCATAATATTAGTTGTCTAATTTATTTATGCAATATTTATATAAGATTGTACTCAAGTAGGTACACACTGTTCACTGACAACGTTAGAAATAAAAGGAAAGAGAAACGTAATGATACGATACAAGACGTCGTTTGGGTAATCCCCGGCAAACATTTTATCGCCGCCAGTGTCACCATATTTGACGGTATAAAAAATGACAAAAAAATCACGTAATTAATGGACGGCCCCCTACCGCATGTGACATGTATTTTTCACGGTATTTTGAGTTATATATTGAGTAGCCGAATCTATACATTTATTTACGTAAGTATGTATACGTACTATAATCAAATAAAATTGAACTTTTGTATGGACCAGTACAAAAAATTTATTGACATACGCTTACTTACTCCTGATACATTAACTATTTAACCATTTTCGAAAAAAAATCTTGACTCAAAGCTCACAATCGCTAATCACAAAAACGCATATCGATAAATAATCATATGCAGATATTGATATCCGACAAATTGATGAAAACATTAATAACACTGTCAACCCACACAAATAATTTAGGGGCATTCCCTTTTTATAACTTTGGAATTTCTCACAACTGAGTTGCCATGATTAAACTCGAGTTGCCACCTGTCATATTTATTTTGAAAATGGCAAAATTTTCAATAGTTGAGTTCGAATCTGGTAAAGATTCGAGGGCCCCGAGGCATTGCCTCGCCTAGCCCCTTGGTAGCTACACCACTGAGCGGGCCGCACTTAATATAATTAACCTTAGAAGCCCAATATAATCTATATAGCCCAAGAATAATGTGTCATATCCCAGAGAAAAATGAAAATGCTATTAAAATTGTTGAAATATACGGAATTTATTTCGTACACCGAATGAAAACTATAAGGTAACTACTAAAAAGTAACTGATTTTTTACAAAGAATCATGTCCACTTTCTATACATTGATTGACCTGTCACATGTTTATTTCAAAGGTTTACCTACCATTAGTGACAATTTAAATTAGTTTTTGTTTAAAATAAAATAATATCTAAGCGTCTTGTCATTAGGAGGCCAGGGAGATTCGTAATTTAAAAATAATGTTTTCAGCCCCTGTCAAACTCAATATAATAGGGTATTTGACGCTTTTCAGATAATTTTAAATGGTTATTAGATACATTGTAAATACACTGACAATATATTTCATTAGAATCTGTTCTAATTTGATGAAAATAATTGTTAATATTTAAAAAGCCAAAATCGCGCAAAAAACGCTGCTCTATGTAATGGCGCTGATCATGTGGTATTTGTGACGTCACATGCCAGTAAATATGTCAAGGCAACGTAACCTATTTATCAACTATTTATTTACGAAGTAAACATATAGTAAAACAGAATACAAATTGAAGTTAAATTTGATGTTTTGTATTTGTATCTACTCTGATTTTGTTTATAAAAGTGAGCTACAAATTATGTGTATAAATACAAATTTTGAGTATCTCTAATAACTCTCTTTTGACATGACAGCTTCCGGTTTAAGTATGACGTCACATGCTGGTAAACAAAACCTCTTATTGGTTGCGACGATAACAGGGCGTTTCGGTCGTTCATTAAAATTCCTAAAAATGTTGCATTTTCTTTATGTTATTTTACTAAAGCTGAACATATTTTATTTTCAGATTCTAAGAAATAAACTTTATTAGATTATTATCTAACAGGATGACCATAATAAGCAACTTATTTTTAATAGTGTCAAATCCTTATGATGAAACTAGTTTTCGCCAGCAGTTGCGCCGGCGTGGTCCCTAGGGAAATATTTAATATAAATACCCTTTCTGTATATCAAATTTCATCAAAATCCATTCAGTAGTTTCGGCGTAAGCCCGTGTTTACTTCATACTCCACAGGCGTACTAGCTGTTTGCTGTACAATGAACTAGCTGTTTTCACGCGACTTTACCGCAAAATTATAGCCTATGACAGGGCCGCCACATCTCCAAGTCGGGCCCGGGACCAGATTCTGGCCACG